CATCTTGTCAATTCCATGCGAGAGCGCAACAAACTTCATTCAAGTGTGGAACGACTAGAAGAATCACTTGCACGCGCAAATTCCGAGCTTGGAAGGTTTCAAAGGGCGGTTGAGGAGCAGAATAAAGTGTCTTGTGGTGTAGATGTATGGCGTGCGACTGCGCATGCCAAGGAGCGTGAGTTGCGTATTTGCGAGGAAGAACTCAGTCTTCTGCGTGGTATTGTTGAGCAACGTGTCATGCGCTCTGGAAACGTGGTGATGCAACAGGCAGGTAGCACGGCTCTTGCTCAGGTGAAGAGCGATTTAGAGGATCTAATTATTGAACTTGCCTCCGCACATGTTCTTAGGCGTGAGGCTGAAATACATGCGGAACGCGTCTCAGAAGAGCTCGAGGCTGCGCAGTCACACATACAACTGATTGATAACCGTTTGGCCGAGGCGGAGAAGACTGTGGCATTCCAGAGATTGCAGGAGATGCGGGAACGTCTTCTGTCTGGCAATGATATGTCACTGCCTTTGCCTTCATTGCCGACATTGCCATCTTTTTCGATGCTATTGGAAGGTAATGTTGCAGCGTGGCCGATAGACGCCCGACGTGAAATTGCACGTCTAGCGAACTATGCGGAGAGTCTTGTGGCACAGCATGCTGAAAGCGATCGTTATGCCGAGTTACGACTGTCGGAAATACGACGAGAAAATGAAGAGCCCCCCCAAAAAAAAAGATAAGTAAAAAATAAGCAGAAATAAAAGCAAAACAATACAAAACAAATAGTCACCGAACATTTAAATATTTCCCACAAATAAGTTGACGCTTGACGAAACAAACAAACAAAAAATAAACATCCAACTACACACAAAGAAATGTAAACAGGTCAAGCAATTCCCCAACAGCCGGCACGTCTCAAAAAAAAAAAAAAAAAAAAAAAAAAAGCAAACGATTTTTTTTTCTTTTTTTCTTCTCTTACCAGTCGTATTAACTACACCTCAATTGTGCAGCTCTGGTAAGCGTACGAAGGAATTCAGTGGCAAGGATAACCTTACTCCGCGGGCAGCCACTATAGAATGGCTCCAACATCTGCCCTTCCGGCCCGTAAAACTAAGTAACAACTACTCATCGGTTTTGAAGCATGAACAGAAGGCGCTTAGCTTCCTTTCTGGCAAGAGAGTACTAGACCCTGGCACCACATTGAGGTGGCCGACTGAGCCAGGGGAAGCAAACAAATCGTATACATGAATATAATACATTTTACCCGCACGTGCCAGTGAAAAATTGGCGGCTTCCTTGGGCCTTCTGCACACATATCCAATGCCCCGGGAAGCTCGCATCGAGGCGTGTCCGAAGAGGGCCAAAGGGCAGGTTAGGGTGGCAAGGTCAAGAAATCAACAATTCCCTGAGGCTCAATCACGGCTCGTTCATAATTCACCAAAGTGGAACAAAAATAAATAAATAAATAAAAATAAAAACCTTCGTCCAGAAGAGAGTCATAGGCAAGTCCTCATTATCTTCCATGCTCCTTTCACAATTTTCTCAAGAAATATACGTCGCTCACAACATATATGTGTATTTGTCATCTTCAAGCGTCGACATGTGGATTTTTCTCCACTCTTTGAAATCCGTTCGCGTTTTTCGGCGTATTTAACGAGCGCGCCACACATCGCTCATAGGCACGGAGCATGCACAATATAATTTGAAAAAAAAATCAAAAAAGGCATACATTTGCATAAAGAATTGTACCAATATAAACATACATGTAAGCATATGAAAATTTTGTCGTTCTGTAATTTAACCGAGTCGCCAAGATTGGGGAACCCATACATATGTCGAAGGGAAACAACATATCCTAAAGAGTGTTAATCCATGTCGTCTTCCTCCCCCTCTCCCCTCTCTGCTGTCAGGGTTTAAATTGTCTCTCATTCTGCTTCTTTTATTGACCCACCCCATTGTATCTCTTTTTTGTTTGCTTGTTGGAAATTATTCATTACAAAAATATTAGATAATTTCGTTTGCATGTAAATCTACAGTTGAACTCCCCATAAAATTATTTTCACCTTTTCCGTGCTCTCATTTTTCCATTCCCATTGACAAGCGGCTGACCTAACAACATATTTACAGATACGCCGTCGGGTTTCCTCAGCGGGGTATTCATTCCTTCTTCCACCCCCCAGCACCTATTCTCCCTTTTTTTATTTCATTTTTTCACATTCTCCTTTCCGTTGCCTGAGCGTGTCGCAGTTATTTATCCAAAGAGTTATTTCCGTTCCCGTGCTTGAATATACGAAATCCGCTTGTCCCATCTTGATTTGCCCAAGACACCGGGAGGACGTCGTGTACGCAGTGTGTTTGTGGACATCGTGGATAGCATTCCCTGTGACACCCGCAATGATGGCCCGCCAGAACCCGGCGAGCCCAAAGACAGATTCTCATGGCGTCGCAGGGTTCTGGGCACGTTCTCCAACCCACTGTCGTTGCCACTTCTGTCGGTCTCCCACACAAGCGGCAGATGTTTCAGGAGACACACCAAAAAAAAAAAAAAAAAAAAAAAAGGAAACTCACTTCTTGATCGCTTTTTCCAGCGGTATAGCAGTCCAAAATAAATGTGACGGCCGCTGAGAACGCACACACACACAGAGAGAGAGAAAGAATACAAATCGTCCTCACTGTTGCCAGTTCTCTCTTTCCTTTCCTGCGGTTTAGCTTCGGGCGCTTTTCACTCTTTCCGCATCACAGCGCGCGGTGAACGGATATTCACCGTGCGACGCTCAAAACTAGTGCTTTTGGCTGTCATGAGCGACAATTTCCGTCTATCCCCAACTGAAACGGGGAAGGCCACGTGTGACACACTGAATCACTTATCTCGAGAAGGGTGTGGAGTAGACGAAATCGTATTGAATGAAGGAACATGCAAACCGGGATTTGTCTCTTCCCTTGTAGGAACAGTAACCGTCAATTCCAAAGCTTTAGTCGGCGGCAAGGAGCCCGACTTTATTCCACGAATGTCATGGCCCTGTTTAAAATGGTCGTCATGACATGGGACTCGAACGGCAACACACTCGTCTATAACGCTGCTGAAAGAGTTGCTGGGTGTTCCATCAATGGACTGAGGGCCACCTTTTCTGGACGTGGCTTCATCCATAATTCGTGGGTCATCATCAATCGCAAAGCGCGGCCACGAAACGCAAACTTCGGGAATATAATTTTTTTTGTTTGACACGATACGCTTAGAGATAAAAGTGCAGGGGTCCCTTCGTTCTGTTAAGTCCCCTGTTCTCGCCATCTCTGACGCTTCCGTGAAAATTTCCCCCAAGGCAACCATGCGGTTAGAAGTGAAGCTGCCGTTTTTTAAGTGACTGTTGGATGCGTTCTCTGCAGCACCACTGCTAGGAGTTGGTGTTTTGCTGAGTGTCTCACATGAGACCGGTGATGGTCGCGCACCTTTGCCTGCTAGCGGGGAGCCGGTCGTGGAAGGAAGCGGAATGAGATTGGCCGTCACAAGCGGTGTGATCCCGTGAACTTTCTGCAGCGTCACTGACGGACCAGTCGGCATTTTAGAAAACGTCGCTGAATTCCCGGCGCCCTCCTAAACAAACGACATCTTCCATCGGTAAATCACCAGAGAGAGGGAGAGATTGCATATATATATTGAAGAGGCATCAAAAGAAAGGGCCGCATATGCTGCAGTCATAAAAAAAAAAAAAAAAAAAAGTCACCTCAAGGCAACAACAATTCCATCTCTCACGCCATTTTTTTCTTCTTCTATTCTCTCGCCCCTTTCTTCTTCATCCAGTTTTGTTTTTTGCTTTTTTGGGCAGCTTCTCTCAACCCACCTGCGCAAAAACAACAACAACAACAACAAACAACAATAAAAATTTCTATGATCCCCTCACTCTTCATCCTTCACAGACGGAGAGGAGAAAAACATTAAAACGACTCCTCACTACTCTCCCTTTTACCAAAGAGAATGTCACTGTCAACATCGTCGTCGGAGTCACGCGTAATCATGATACTCTCTGTTGCCTGTTGGCGTTGACGAGCCTGGGCGATGTAGGTGTCCAACGACGAGGTGCCACGCCCACCGCCGTCGTCGTACCTTTCTTTCCTTTCTGCAGTTTGTCGTTGCAACAACACCGTGTGCTGCGCCTTGAAAGCCCACACAATTCCACGGCGGGCTGTGTCCTCATCGGCTTCAACGACAGTGCGTCCTCTCTTCTCTTCCTCATACAGAGCATCCCGTCCCTCTTCTATTGGAGGGGCGGTGGCGGCGGTAGCGGTGATGATGGATGCTTGGTTGCCCACTGGTGCTGACTTCAAAGAAGAGGAATGTACAGACGAGTTGGGTGAAGATGATGATGCTGATTGAATCTTCAAATCGTCAGAAATAGCGGAGTCGCGGGATTGTTTTGGGTTTGCGCAAGAAAATGAGGATGAAGATGACGTCCCCTTCATAACAGCAACCACCTTCCCGCCCTTCTTGCAGCTACCACTGCTGCTGTGTTCTTCACCTACACTATACTTTCGTTCCCCTTCTCCATTACCCTCCTTCCCTCCAAACTCCTGAGACGACACTGTCATACCGACAAGCTGGTGATGTGGTGAGGTGGAATCCGTAGCGGTTTTGACAGGTTCAGCAACAGTAGCCACAAGAGTCGTATTAGGAGGAGAAAATGGCGCAATAGTTTCCTTCACTTCCTCTTTCTTCTGCTCTTGCGGTTGTTGCTGTTCTTCTTCTTGTTGCTCCTGATGGCTCGCGGAAACGCATGTCTTGAACTGGGGCACAACCTGCGGCTCTGTGGAATGACTTTTTACGTCCACCGCCACCGCCTTTTCCAACTCCGGGAGCACAGTGGGCTGCCATGTGGAATGCCAGGTTTCGCTCGCTTGCTGCTTTTGTTGTGACGGGACATGATACGCGGCAGAAACACGTTCTTGAAATGCGTTGGCCCGTGTGAACGCCTCACGAATAGTGTTTGCCTGCTCTCGCCCACCCTCTTCTCCCGCCTCTTCCCGCCAGCTGGTGACGCCGTGGTTTGCAAGGATTGACTTCAGCCGAAATCGCAAGCGGCTGATCTCTTCATCCTTCAGTTGCAACTCCGCAAGATGCTCGGCTTGAAGACGACGCAAGTCCTCTACTCTCCTCCATTCACGATCTCGCGCAGCGTCTGCCTCGGCAAGTCTAACACCACAAAGCTCCTCGTATTTTCGTAACTGAGTGGTCAATAGACTTATCTGCTGTTTCGCATCGTGCAGTCGACCCTCTGTTGCGGCAATCGCTTTATCACGTTCTTCCAGAAGCCCATGCAAGTCACGATGTCGCCGTTCCAGTTCAACGCGCTGAATCTCCAGATCATCACGGGCCTGCCCTAGCCGTGCCCGCTCAGCCTCTATGCGTTGCACGCTCACCCGTTCCAACTCTCGCATCTCCTCCATTTTGTGTTGCAACAGAACCCCGTAGTGCTCCTCAGCGGCTCGTCGAGCCTCATTTAATTGCTGTTGCTCAAATGCTCGCAGCCGCTGCTGGTACCCCTGCTCCATCTGCACCCGGAGCTCTTCTCGATAGACGGCCATACGACGATCCACTTCCTCCCGTGTCGATTCACGAAGACGTGAAAAACTAAGTGCATACTTCGCGTCCACAGCGGCCAGACGAAGCTCGAGTGGTGGCGGTGACAGTTCCTTTTCACACATGTCGGTCTGCGTCCCTACCGCGTACCCTGGCGGCTGTCCACGTTTGTCACCCATCTGCCGCAAATATATCTCCAGGACCGAATGCAAAAGACTTGTCCTCCGTCGTAACGCCACGGATGTGTTGAGGTGCAGCATTCCCGCCAGTGCATCGTCTCCACTCGATCCGAATGAGACGTCCGCCTCGCTGCTGAAGATGGCCAGTGAAAAGGAGCGGCCCGTGTGTCGTAGGTGACCTTCCACGAGCGCGTCTGCAAGGCGTTGGGTCCAACCATCATCCTCGACCTCATCCTCTTCGTGTTCCGCATCACGCGTGTGTCGAACTGCTGAAGATTTTTGGGAAGGCCCCCGTCGTTTCAACAACTCAGAAACGATGACACTACGAAGTTGTGTCTTCAGAGACCCTAAAGCGCCACTCGAGCGGAGAAATTGTTGCATCCCAGCGCGCAGCTCCGACACGGAGAGAGCGTCAATGGCATTTAGGGCGACAGCAGGAGCAGAAGTCGCCAGGGATTCGGCCGCGTCTTCCGCTCCGCGATGTGAGGATGAGGGGAGCATAGAGCCCTAGTCACTATATTGATATGCCGCCCCCGATGGCAGTGAAAGGCGAGAGAAAAACAGAGCGCCTAAAATAAATAAACAAATAAATAAATAAATAAAGACAAACACGGTATTCGCCCTCCCCCACCGCCCAAGCAAACGCCCTCTCTCCATGTGAGCTGCGTCTTTGCCCACCACTCCCTGTTTTCCCATTCCCTAGAACGCCGCAGTCCTCAATGTAAACTTATTTCTATGCGCTCACGTTGAAAAGTGACCACTCAGTCGAAGCTCGCATGAAAAAAGCGGCGAGTACCACAACAGTTCGGCTGCTGAGAACATTTTCGCGTTGTTCTCACTGGAGTGTTGCGGCAGCAAAGCAAGAGTCTCGAGAAGCGACTGGAGAATTAGCAGATGCTGTTGAAGAAGTGGATCGGAAAGGGAGCATTGCCCTGTTGTGGAAACTACTTTCTTGACATGTATCTTCTCAACCAACCGTCGCCGAAGACCGCGAATCACTTCACGGGCAAGTGGGACCGCGTCGAAGGTCAGGCTATTGGGCAAAAACACAAGTGGCACCGTTGACCTCGCCACATTTTGCCGCTGCATCATCCATTGAGTTCGTGTTGACTGTGCCCACTCAATGACACGACGCAACCACCCCTCACATGGACGTTGATTTTCATCATCCAGCCCCAACATCGCAGTTTTGGGACTTAAAATCAATTTGGGTGGCAGAAGGCACTGCGCCAGTGCAAAAATCACATCTGCTGGATTCACAACCGCATGAAAAGAGGCCGCCCCGCGTTGCGCAAGCAGTGATTGACTGTTCTCATCATTGAGAATATCATTACCATGATTCTGCCGGTGGGTTCCTCCAACACGACGTGTCGCCGCCAATGCCATCGCGCCCTCCAACTCGCAAGAAGATGCCACGGCATCAACCAGGCTGTTCAGTAACAATACATGAAAAAAACGGTATGCCTTAACGCGGCCCTTGTAGTCCGTGTCATCGCCACCTCGCAGCCCATGCGGACCCCCGTGGAGAACAATTCCAAACTGGTACGCCACTGCGGCAAAAACCGAGTAGAATGCGAGTTTTGAGGCATCCAATTCTGAGCTGCCCCCCGTCAATTGTGCGTTCAAAACTTCCGGGATCCATTCAAGCGGATAAAATTCGTAGTGAATGTCGTCCATAAGTACTTTGAACTCCGGTGTGAACTCTATATTCCCTTCGTCCAAAGTACCGTCATCAATCAGAGAATGTTTCTTGCGCCTGGCCACAAAGGGACGCCGCAACGTGCGCTCTTGCATGAGCGGCAACAACAGTTTCTCAATAAGAGGTGCCAGCTGCCGTACCAGTTGCTGAACAAGGCTCAGGGTTTGCAGCTGTGTGTACACTACAATGGAAGCCAACAACACCTCGCAGCGGTAACGCAACAGTAATTTTTGCTTCTCACTGTCAGAGAGGCGTACTGTAGTAAGTAAATTTCTGTCCTCAGTGAGTTGATTATCTTCGTCATTGTCGTCCATGTCATCCGTGCGACGTCCGAGAGCTTGGAGCTGAACAATCATGGGTTGCACATCCGTGTTGCGAACCAGCACTCGCTCCGTCTCCCTCACCGTCGTTCCACTGAGCCCGGAAGTCGCAAGAAACGCAATCAGCGCCTCCCCGGCAGCCTTGTAATACTTGGGCAGTATAAAAAGGGGTCGTTGCGCATTCTCATTGCCTTTACCATCGCCATCATTTTGTGCCCCACCGTCAGTTTCTACCTCTGCTGGAAAGGCAGCAACAAACAACGACTCGTAGCTCTGCGGCAAGAGGTTTTGAAAGCGTGACACATATGTACGACGCCCAACGGCAGCCAGAAGCTCATCGAACACCGCCCGAGTGCTGAGCCGCACTCCTTCCAATATTGTCACACTCTCTTGCGGTGTTTTCTCCAGCAACCGCGCCCGTCGCAGACACTCTGACCAGGGCCACTCAAATCCTACTTGCTGCAGCAACACTGGCAGTAGTACCTGGAGGAGCGCATCGACCTCGTGTAGTGCAAGCGCGCGCAACACTACAGGACGAACAGTCCATTCAAAGAAGGGTTCTTGCTGTTGCTGTTTCTTCTTTGCAGAAGTTTTGCCCAGTGACTTTGGCGCGCCAGGTGCCACACCAGGTGGGAGACGATGCGGTGCCACTGGGCCGCCCAAAACGGCAGCAAAGAGAAGTTCCTGCAGAGACGCCACTATAATGGTGGCAATCAGTCCTCCCGACACACCCTCCTCTTCCTCTTTTTCCTCCTTCCCAACCTCCTTAACCCTTTCACGTGTCACAGTATCTTGCACCTCCACAAGACTGCACAAAAGAAGCACCGCTGCGGTCAACGGGCAACGCCCCGTGCCATCTTCTCGGTAGCAACGGTACGCGATGGCGTATTCCACGATACCTACAACAACACCGCATGCCCGGGCTTTTGCCACCTTGCCACCAATGGCACCGACAAATGCCAATAACATGCAGGCACACAACTGTTTTACCCGAGAAAATACCTCCACGGTGAGAGCGGCAAATAGACGGGCGCGATTGGCCTCTTTTATAAATTCTTTCTCCTCCTCCATTTTCTTCGTCGTACCACCGTCACTGCCATCCTTGGGGGTTGTGCCCTCCAAGGTGAATAAAAGTGGATATTGTGACGTTTTGGCATCTGGTGAAAACATCTCCTGCAGGGCACTCTCAATCGCCTTCTCTTCAGTCACAATCTTCCCTGCATTTTCCCCCGCGTCCTGTTGATGATTTTGACGTGCGACTCCCAGGGCTTTTTGAACTAACTTTTCCACAGAATTGGAAGATGATGTCAACAATGACGATGACGATGCGGCCGCGGAAAGATATTCGTGGACAGCCAGAGCTCGAAATACTCGTCCGAAGCTTGATTCAACTACACGAGGAATCAGCGGATACATGCAATCGCTTCCAACCCTTGCCAGAGACTTTGCTTGCAACTCGGCCGCTTCTGATGTCTGCGATTGCTGATGCCACTGTGCATCGTACGCCGCAACCAAATCTGCCGCGGGAAATCCCACCAGCGCAAGCGATTCTTCAAAAGACAAACCAACATCCCTCGAATTCCCCTTCTCCTTACCATTTTTGTTATTGCCTTCGCCAGTGCATAAGGGACGTGGCGGCAGTTTGTGGGGAAAAAAGGGGCGTGACCAGGCCGTGAGGTAAAAATACCATAACCACTGATCCGGTGTTTTTGGAGCGCTTTCTGCGGCAGCGGCGCCGGACTGCGACGAAGAAAAAAGAAACGAAAACGGAACTTCTCCGCCTCGCTCCCTCACGTTCTCATCATTGATCTCAGGCACCCTCATGGTAATGTTTCCACCCGATATCAGAGCTCGTTACAACAGGCTAGACACCCTTGACCTCTTATTCACTCTTCCCTTTTAACAACAATGCAACCGAAATGTACGTAAGCCAAAAAGAAGGCACCCAATTGCCGCGCTCTCCCCACCTTCACCTCACAGTTACTCGCGTTTTGGTTCCCTTTTCCACGGCGACGGTGCATGCAAAGAAAAAAGAAAAGGAGTGAAGGAGAATGAAAGTTGCAAAACGCCCATGACGCCCTACAGGACACACGCAGAGACGCACATGCACGCCGACACGAACACTTTTGAACTCTTGCGATCAGATCCCCTCACCCCACCCCGCCCCTACCCTACTTTCCTTTCCACTCGTTGCCATAACGACTCAATTCCCATCCACTACTACCCCTGAAAACAGCGCCAACTTTATTTCTGTTTACCTCCACTACCAATCAGCCACACAGAGGAAATGCTCCACACTAATAACAGAGAGGATTTGCTTTTGCCCCGGCGTTCATAATGTAAGTTAAGTCAGCCCCAATAAAGAAAAAGTCAAACATAAAAAAAAAAAAAAAAAGTAAATAAAAAAATGTTTAGCTTCTACCGACATTTCTGCATTCTTTCCCCCTCCCTCTCCATCCCCTTTTCTCGAGATGCATAAGCATCAGTATGCGTGCTACTCGTATCGGGCATTGCAGGGGGGGGGGTGGAGGGGAGGGGGAGACGAAACGCAAAAACCAAATCAATTAAAGAAAAGAAAAAGCCTCCGGGAATCCCACATATTTTAATATGAGCACATTATCATCTTCTTCTACTTGCTAATTCCCCACCGTAAACAACAACAACAACGACAAAGAAGAAGAAGAAAAAAAAAACATAAGCAATAATTAAGACTCAAAAGAAAAATAAATTCATTTGTTGTCAAAATTACTTTCATGATTGTCCGTTTTTTTTTTTTTTTATCGCTACACAAAAGAAACTTAAATAAATAAATAAATATATAGATAGATAGATAGATAAATAGATTGATAAATATATTTTTACGTTTTCATTTTTGCTCCTGCCACTTGTTTTATTCCTCATCCTTTGTCCTTTTGTATGATACATTCGTTTTTAAAGTAAGGGAACTTACGGAAAAAACAAAAAAACAAAAAACAACTGTGGCAGACGACATTGTAGTCATTGCGTTGTCCAGCGTTCGCACGCCTCCGCGTCCCCTGATTCCTACACACACGCACACACACAGCCATACAAAAACCATCCTAATCTTCTTTGCTAATTTCCTTCAGTTTTTCTTCCAGTGAAGCCATTTGAGCTTTAATGGCATCAATCTTCTCGTTGTGCTTCGCCACAGCGGCTCCAAGCTTCTCATCATGTTCATTGCGCATCTTGTTAATGATGGACTTCATCAGTTCACGTTGCCGTTGAAAGGCGTAGCGCTCTTCTGGAGTCCGGATTTTCTCGTCAAACTCCGCCTCAAGCCAGCGGTCATCATCGTCAAGATTCACCTTCCGCTTCTTCTCACCGCCCACTTCGTCACTGACGGCACGGCGTGAGAAATAAAGAGACGTGGAGACAGGAAGGAAACGTGCTGTGGCAAGGCGCTGCATTATGGAGGTGTAATAAAGACTGCTGTCTAATAATGTAATAAAAGTGTTGCAATTCTAAAAAGCCTCCAGTAAGCAAAAGAAAAAAATATAATAATAATACCGAGAGAATAATAATAATAATAATACAAAAAGGAAAATCAAAATTGAAGCGCGACACCGCGAAAAATGTAACGCGTAAAAAGGCCAATGCTCCATGACACCTCAGCACAGCATTCCACGCTGAGATGCACACATGCCTTGGAAGGTGAGAATTACAAACTTCCACTCCTGTGTCATATATACCTATATATATATATATATAACGTCGCATCCTCCCCTACGGCAAATCACAGAGATATCGCACCCATTGCTGCAGCCAAAATAGATTGATCGAGCGTGACGGCGCCCACCGTACGCCGCGCCATGCGCTCTTTTCCTTTTTTTTGATCATTCCACTTTTTCTGCTTGCGTGAAATGTCACCTGCGTGAATTTTTGCCGTTACATCCTTTCGATATGCCTTCACCGTTTCACGGGCGACAATTTTTGACCCCACCATTGCCTGCAGTGGGATGTCAACGGCGGTACGTGTGAGGTTGGATTTGAGACTTGAGACAATACGCTTACCAATGGATGGGGCCTCAGACCTTAGACAAATGACAGAGAGTGCAGATATACGTGACTTCTGTACCAGTACATCTACCTTCACGAGGTCTGCTTCCTCATAAACCGGATCGCCATAGTCAAGCGAAGCATAGCCGTGTGAAAGACTCTTGACAACCGCAAAGAATCCACGAGCAAGATCTGCTAGAGGCATCTTGTACCGCACAAGAACCCGCGCGTCATCTAGCACACGCATATCCAATTGTTCCCCGCGGAATCGTCGCAGAGCCTCACCATCAATCGCTTGGAAGTGCTCCCGTCGTGTAATAATGGTGGCGGTAACGTACGGTTCTAAATAACATGCTGCACCTTCATGTATCCACTTCCACGTATGCACAGTCAAAGGTTTCAAGGGTTCCTCTTCATCACTCCCCGCCTCGCGGTACTTGTACTGCACCAATGGTGGTGTCACGAGCACTCTTTGACCAAACTCGGCAAGAAGACGCTCCTGGAACACCTGCATATGTAACATACCCAAAAATCCAAGCTGCAGCCCTGATCCCAGCGCGGGGCAGTCTAAAGGCTCCATTGTGACGGCGGGCTCATTGACTCGTAGTTTTTCTACCGCCTCCCGCAATTGAGTGATGTACTCTCCTTCGTCCGGATAAAAACCGGCAAAAACAACCGGCTGAACGCGTCTAAAACCGGGTACGGGAACAATATTCTCCCGTGCAAACTTCCGAGTTGGTAACGTGTAGAGCGTCTCACCCACCAAAAATTCCTCACCGCGCACCTGTGAGAAGACGACGTAGCCGACCATCCCCGCCGTAAGTGCTGCCGTAGGCCGCAGTTCGGGATGAATGATACCCACCTCAAGCGCCTCGCACCGCCTTTGCGACTGGTAAAATGTTACCACCGTTTTGGCTGTCAGTGTCCCGTCTATGATACGCACGAGACATATCAAATTCCTGTCATTGTCATTTCCACTATTGACTTTTTCACCGCCTCGTGGTGCTGGACGGCGCAGACCCCCGCCACACTCAGAGGTCCATGAGTCAAACAACAACGCACGCAGAGGCACCATCTTTTCTTCCATTGCAACCCGCTCCGCACTGCCGGGCAGAAGAGGCGGGAGTTGCTGCAAGTCGGAGAGTCCCAGTAGACCAGTTGGCGGAGGTACACGTTCAATAATGGCGTGAAGAAGTGCCTCTATTCCAAGCTGCTCCTTGGCGCTGGTAAACAGTACCTCGCGGCGCAGTAAGCCCGTAGAGTCTTCCAGATCCTGCAGCGCACGGTCAACTGGAGCATCACTGAGCACGGCGTCCATTTTTGTGAGCACAGGCAAGATGGTTAAGCCTCGATCTAGTGCCATATGAAAGTGCGCCATCGTCTGTGCCTCAATACCCTGGGCAGCGTCAACAAGCAACAGTGCCGCATCTGAGGCACTTAAGCTTCGTGAGACCTCGTACTGAAAGTCTACATGCCCAGGGGTATCGATGAGATTAAGTAGAAACTCCTCCCCATCCCACACAACAAAAATAGAGCACGTCTGCGCCTTGATGGTGATGCCCCGCTCACGCTCCACAAGGAGACGATCCGTATACGTCCCCACCTGTGATCCACTTAGCACACCGGTGCGACGCAGAATGGCATCGCTCAGCGTAGTTTTGCCATGATCAACGTGCGCAACAACGGCAACGTTTCGAATGTGCGATGGTGGGAAAGAGGCAAGAGTGCAAAATGCCCTATCGTCATCATGTGGCGGTCGTGGTGCGCCCATCGTTGCTGTGGACGGTTCAATCTTGTACTTCAACAGGGACGGCGCTGAAAGTGACCCCGAAACATCATCGTCAGGCATTTTCGCAGCCGTTTCGGTGGAGTTGATGTTCGACGATGATGTGGCACACCAGCGCATGATGTGCCGGGAAGAGATGCTGGCGGTGCATAGACGCTGCCGTAGTGGCTTCAAAAGCAAGCAACATCCAACTCGCATGAATCCCCGCTTTCCAACAGCTCGAGGCCTTTACAACGTGTCTCTTCCGTACCCTAATGGCCCCCTCATAGAAAGGATTCCAATAAGATGTGAAGAAAAGGTAGTCATCATGGGAATAAACGCCCGCCAGCAGCACACAGAAAAAAAACAAGACAAAAAGGAGGCAGAAGTAAAAAATCTGAGCCGTTACCTTCTTCCGTCCCTGACAACAGACAAGCAGGGAAAGCTTCTTTTTTTTTTTTTTTTTACTTCTTCAATTTTCATTTTCATTTTCACACAAATCTTTTTTTTTTTTTGCTGAGGGCCTCTCTTGCACTCCGTGAGAGCGCGCACATGCATCAAATGCACCTGCTATACATCCATTTTGGCCTCCCTTTCCCTTGTCTTCTCTATTTTAATTTGCAGACAGAAATGCAAAGAAAAAGCGCCCCTCACCCTCAAAGTCACAACTTAAATTTTTTTTTTTTTTTACATTTCCTTATCAGCAGGAAGCTTTCCCTCTAGGCCAGCAAATTGGCTTCTTCGAAAACTGTTCCGTATCATGGAATCTCGCTTCCGTCTCTTCTCCAAAAGCGTCAGCCGTGACGTCGAAAACTTCCCGCTACCCGTCACAGTGCCCATCGGTAGGCTCGACGACGCGGCTAAGGGTTCGACATGTCTCGTTTCATGCTGCCCAACGCGGGACATGACGTGGTCAAGGATGCTCCCTGTTCTACCGAGACTGCTGGGATTGTCGCGAGTGCGTGCCTGCTGCACCAGGGTCGTCAAATTGACGCTCTCAGTCCCCTGCCGCAGCCGTGAGAGAAGAAACCGCTGCGTCGCCTCATCCCACTGCGCTATGTGCGTGTGAATGCACACCTTTGAAAGGTGTTTTAGTTCTGTCGCACGTGCCTCCACGTCAAGCAATACCTTCACCAGCTGATAGGAATCTGGAATGATAGGATTCACAAGGAAATCTCTTCGCGGAGGAGTTTCGGTCTCACCATCCCCCTGGTCATTGCCATCTTTCTGCAAAGGAAGGACGACAGCGTCATTATGCAAGTCCACTAATTCAGCTATGGCACCCCATACTTCGTCTTCGCACAACGACGGCAATGCGGCAGCATGCAAAAGTTTCACTCGTTCTACTGCACTCGTTTTTACATGAATGAGACGAACAAAACCAACTGCCGCAAGACATGCGTACACCTTTGCATGCATCCCAAGCACACCATGCAGCGATGCAGCTAGCCGTCGCCGTGCTCGTTGCGTCATCGCATTGGGCGCCGTTCCACTGTGAACCTCCTCCAAATCAACATCCTCCAGCTCCTTGTGACGATTCTGAAGTTCTGTCTTGACAGAATTGCGATCATGGATTCCAATCAGACCTAAGCCCCACCGGTCGGAATGAAGGATTGGCAATACCACCGGTTCGTTGCAGTCACCATAACTTTTGTCAACTTCCTTCGCCAACAAATCCCTTCTCCCTGCCACGGGTTCCGCCCTGTCATTTGACAGCCGTTTTTTCTTCTCTTCCGGCACATCCGTCACCACTCCTTTTTCCGAATCCCCCATGTTGAATGGGTCGTTGTCTTCAATGTTATCTCCCCAATTCACAAATCCCTTAGGCGGAGTGTCCATTGTAATTTGCGCCAAGTTCTCCTCCTCCTCCTCCTCTTCCCAGAGGCGCAACAACAGCTGTGTCGCGTTCGTGCAGCCGCTATCCTCCATGTCCTTTGGGCTCTGCATTTTGTACGTGGACCACTGCAAAAACGCTTCCTGCGCCTCTTTACTTTCATGCAGAAGGTCAGCAAGAATTGTCAACGTTGGGGCAAGCAGTGAGATATCGTCCGCGGCGCTCGCATCATGAATTTTCATAGAATTCCCCTGCCACCAACCAACAAAGACGGCAATGAGAGAAAGCAGCACGTGTACTCCATCCTCATGCACAAATTGCCTCTGTGCCACCTCATTCCCAAGAATGAAGGCCCGAAAGCAGCCAAGCACGGCGAGAAGAAGCTCATTCCTTCCTCCACTCCCATTGGAGGAAAAAAAAGAATTAGAGCAGAATGCCGCCAATAAATTTCGCACCAATGAAAGAATAAGTGGCACGCCACCTAAAGAAAGAAAGGCCTGCTGCGTCATGGAAATTTCAGACTTCTTTCCTACAACGACGTTACTCAATAGCGAAAGACATTGAGTAACGACGTCAGTTTCAAACGCCGTGCAACAGTGTTTCCCATTCCCGTTACTCTCCGAGATAATTTTGGATTCTGCCACAGTAAATGATGGCTTCATCGCTGTCTCAACACGATGTTGTGAATGCTCAGACTTGCCTTTACGCCGCATCAGTGAATGACCGTTGCCGGCACCACTCCTCGTAGATCCAATGCCCCCTAAATGGTGAGTGTTACGTGAGTGCATCAAACGCTTAGAGTTTGTATCGGCCCTCGTCAACGCAAGCGTAGACGGCAACACCTCTACTGGTGATCCCCTCTGAAAAGCCTTCTCAATGACATGCAGAATAACCAACAGAAGCAAAGGGTCGCTTTCGGTAGGCGACGATGTCGACGGCGAAGTCACCGTTGTTGCGGCGAGCATCTTAGACCTGTGCTCGGGGTGCCGACTTAAAACTGAAAGCACATCTACTGCAAGACACATCATCTCCTCAGCATCTCTCGTTGTGACATCACGGATGTAATGCAATGCGCACTGGATGCCGCCGGCCGCAATAAATTGGGTATCCGCCTTCACCAGCGGAAGTTTTGCCACCACTTCTTCCTCCCGCATGCTGTTTACAGCGCTAGCAGGTAATGCCAGCAGCGACATGTTGCTTCTTTCTTTGTCATCGTGGGAGAAGGAGAAGGATGACAACACGGCCGATTCCATCAATCCAAGAAGAACAAACCAGGCTTCTTTTTGCAACGTCAACAACTCCTCACGTGTCCAGGTCACAACAGCTTCTTCGCTGCACATCAAATCAACGTAAAGGAGCAGCACATTGATGAAACCATGACGACAGACATCAAAGACCAAAGTGTCATCCGCGTTCCCCTGCTCACCAACACCATCATGGCCATTGGCGTTGTCATCGACGACAACATCTCTCGTCTCACACGCATTTCCACAGCATAGATATTCCAAAATAAGGCGAGCCTTTTGCCATTCATGAAAGGTCTCTAACATTCGCCATCCAAGTAGTTTAAATTGCAAATTTTCCACGCGTGTTGTTGGCGAAAGTGCAGTGTGGTAACGCAAAAAGGTCTCCGCGGGCCGCTGTGCCATTTGGGCCGTTTTCCCGTTTACACCCAACTCCGGTCCACACACCATGTCAAAGATCGTAGTTGCAAAGGCATTGATGGCGTATATTGTTGATCGTGGCAATGGCGTGTACGCCGCAGCGCCGGCGGATTTCTGAAGTGTTTCCTTCTTCTTGATGAGTACCGCCGTGTCAGTCTTCAGAATCATAGTGAACAACAACACCATATCGTTGCGCAACTCCCGTTGACGAATTCGATATCCCGTGAGTAGGATCTGAATAAAACAGTACAGCAGGGACTCACATGCCGACAAGGAAGAGAGGGGCCGACCCTTTTCATACCTTTTCGACGCTTCACTCTGAATGCCGTGTTGCAAAATGGCCGACACGGTCTCCTCCGGAACAACCTCCAGAAGGTTCCAGAGAAATTCCACACACAACGAGAGGCATTTGTCTCCCTCAGCACACCGAGCCATTGTCAGGCAAAGCAGGACGGCCAGACTTGTGTATGTTGCATTAGAGCTTTCGTCGGGAGCAATCAGATAAAGTGCATGCTGTTTGTACGTCGAGAGATGGAAACAAACACGCAACAACAAGTAGATCTCCTCAGCGTCCACATCCGCCATGCGGGTTTTAGATACAAACACAAAAAAACCTTCCGAGTTCCTCTGTAACGAAGGGCTGATACCGTCGTCAAACGCCGTCGTCAGGGCCACTACCATATTATTCTTTTCTTCCTCCTCTTCCCTCTTTTCCATGCCGCCTGCCTGCACGAGAGCCGGGTGGTGGTAAAACAGACGAGAGGAGTCAAGCAAGGCATTTTCTGGCACATCGGCACGCAGGATGATCGTCCAACGCTCCAAAAGAGGCAAAAAAGCATCCAATGCAACAGCACCATTATAAACACTCATCGGTTCTGTACGCTGGACGCGTCCTTTCCCCGACGATTCACGCGGTGGCTTCACGTAAGAATCAACCGAGCGGATTATTTGATCCATTGATGAACCACTTCCTGGTCCCTGTGAATTCTTCGGAATCGATGTATTCTCAAATGCCTGACCGTTGGTGACACCCACTTGATATCGTTTTCCCCCCGATGTGGCATGCAGCAACCTCGCGGCATCAGTTGTTTCATATCGTTTTTTATCGCGTGATGCAAAATGTTGGTTGACACATGTCAGTTCCTCTGCATCAAGATGTGTCATAAGGGCATTGAGAGAGGAGAGTGCGGCGCGACGAATACCAAGCGAGATCTCTTGAAAATTAATCTCCGACGCATTCATTTTCTGTTCACACCCCTTGTTATGATCAACCTCATCTACGCTCTTATTAACCTCCGCTGTAACAGTCGGATAGACCGACAAGTTCGCATTTACAGGCTCTAGCTTAACGCGCAACATGGATGCCATCGCTGATGCCAAAGTATGAACGGCAGTGGCGCGCTGACGTTGATCCTCTGGCGTCAGGCAAACAAGTGGAAGGGCGCAATGATAGAGCAAAGCCTGCAACGCCGAGGGAATATCGCGGAGTATCGGTATATGCGGAGCCAATGAACCATGAGATAACTCATGTTCAGACCGTTCCGTTTGTTCTTGCTGCTGCTGTTTCTCAGGTAACAAACTCAAACAGGTCAGTGACTGCGTAGCACCCACCACAGCACTGCTTGTCGTGGACATCCTCGTTCCTATTCGCTTGCGCGAGCGTGCCACTTTATCGCACGGTCGCACTTTACTTTGTTGCGACTGTAGCCGTACCGTTGGACGACGACGACCGTCTGTTCCTGCAGAAATGGCAACTTCATCCTCCGTGCTTCCCGGCAACGCTGCCATTGGCTTTGGCGACGCAGAGCGGTGCAACAGTGGCGGTAAGAAAGGCAAAAGATCGTCGGCCGCCATTTCACCGCCGCCGGTGTCATTCTTTCCTCTCGCTCGTGCAGCGCTTTTAGAAGCAATACAGGATCGCGGCTTCTTTCGTTCCTCAATTTCTTCCATCGGTGGAGTAAAGAAGCTGGCAGCAGCGCCCATGGTGGTAGCCGGTGGTACGGCATTTAGGCCTCGCCTGATAGTCTCTGTGGCAACGGGACCCCTACGCACCGGGGCAAGCGCCCGCACCGTGCTGGTGCTTGATTCCATCGGATACGGTAGATACCCTTTCTCGACCGCGTCAGACAAAAGGTAAAGGATATCAGACACCCCAGCAAGAACCATCGATGGCGTGAAACCCATGGGTGCATCGCAGCGCAGCAGTTCATCTATTTCCACTACGTGACGGTAGAAGTGGTGAGCACTGCTGGCACCCCTTATTTGATGAACAATCTCCGAAACACGACGTCGCAGGTACAAGTGGGCGTCCAATGTCGGGCGGCTGCTCTGTACGCCACTGTTCAGCACCTCACTTATGGCACAACTCACTGTTAATTCCGCGTTGTCAGAACGACATTTGGGTGACTGGAGCTGCTGTTTCGTCAAGGCTGTAACGAGCACTTCTGACCCAATTTCACAAATCCGCAACGGCGCTGGCACCTCGGCGGTATGTCGCTTCTCTTCATCCCTCACCGCACGCATCTTTTTTTCTCCTTTGTTTTCTTGTTCTTTTTGTCTCTTCTGTGGTCTGGCAATGCGTGCGCCTCTTCTCTCGTTTTGACTCTCCTCTTCTACTAAAATCAAAAAATACCGCAAGTATTCCCAAAAGGCACGGAATAAAAAAAGTGTGTTTGCAGAAGACGGCACCGCGGCCCAGTTGAGACAATGAGAAGGAAGAGGGAGACAAATGACCGCACGACAACCAACAGTAGGACATACGAATAAACAAAGAATTCAGGATGCACTCTAAACGCTCCGCAATAAATACATATATATATATATAAGAAGGGCCTAACGGCAGTAAACAAACTCCACTCCAATTTACCGTATATCTTCCTCTGGATCAATATCGGCCTCCTGCTGTTCCTCTCCTTGCTGTTGTTCGTTGGGTAATGAAGGATTCGGCAAGGAAGACGACGTCATGTTAGTCCTTTGCGGGGCACTGAATTGAATCTTCAGTTTCCTTGACATCCTTGAGATGTCGATGGTGATGAACTGCAATGTCTGATTCTTAATGGCGGCTCGCAGCTGTTCCTCATCGCGCTCCTCAAAGGAGGAAATAAGTGCGTTTGCGGTGGCCTCCTCTTTTGATGTGGAAAATCCTGGAACACCCCTCAGTTTATTCATCTCCTGTCGTGCCCAGACATCGTCCCCGCATGAAAGACACAAGACGATGATTTCTAATCCAGCCTTTGCGGAATTGTGCGGCTGAGCAAGCCACTCAAAAACCCCCTTCTTATGAGGATCTGCGCGGATGCCAAGTTGTTCCTCCAACACCTCCACCGCGCCCTTAACATCGCCGTTATGAAGATGCGTTAACATCCAATTGCGATAAAGCTCGGGTAACTGCACCGCAACAACAGGCTTATCCTCAATGTGCTCCTCCAGCACACTTACACCCTCACGAAAGAGTCCAACAACCTGCTGCATTCTTTTCTTTACTTGTGAACTACCCGCCTCCGTTGCGGGCAAGCCTGTCACAATTGTCTTTGTCGGATTAATAATTTGTGCGGCCTTCTTCAGGCAATCCGCCTGTCTGTCAAACATTTCGTTAAATGCGTAAAGTTTGGACGCATCACAATAAGCCTCAACCGCATTATTCAAGAGTGACGTATCATCTCCCATGCCCTTCCGTGATTGCTCTGTCAGAAATACAGCGAGACTCTCCATAGCCCGTGCTGCAAAAAAATTGTTTTCTGCATTTTGGTACGCCCCGGACGCCTTGCGCCAGGCGTCAGTCGCCCTGTTTGTGTCCTCCAGGTAGGTGTATATCCTCGCCGCCCTCTCATACTCGCTCGCCGCGGTGTCCCAGTCGGGTCGCTTAAAAAATTTCTTTTGTGAGTGCTTCTCGGCGCTCTTCATCAGGGCGACGGCCTCCTCCGCGCTGCCGGCGGCCATCCGAGATGTCCTTCCGGAATGTCCTCTACTCCGCTGCTGCCGCTGCTGCGAAGCAACACGGGGATAAAAGAGGCAGAGAAGAAAAAGAAAAGAAAAACGGAGCTGCGTGCGCGTGGAAAAAAGAAAAAAATTAACGTCCTCAAAGGAGACATGCGCAGAGAAGACACACAAACAGAGAGAATGAAAAAAGGGCACACACACACAAAAAAAAAAAAAAAAAAAGGAAAAAACACCGACAAACACAAAACTTTCTCATTTCCTTCGCAATTTTTCGGCAACCTCAAACTTGCAACAGTCTTATAATCCGTTCCCTCTTATCTTGACTCCCTTCGAATAGAGTAAGAACAGCGTTGCAGTTACTGGTCGAGCCTGGGGAGAACAGAAGAAACCCGTCAAGCGCATGGCATATCTGGCAGAAAACAAAACAAACAACAACAACAAAAAAAATTGGCACCAGCCACAAGGTAATCAACGGACATCCACTTGTATTTGTACTTATGCAAATGGATGTATGTAAATAAGTATAAAAAGAGAGAGAAAAAAAAATAAATGAAGACGAGGTTTACTCACGTCAATCCCGTTCACATCTCTCACCGTTTCTACAATTTTCTGTTATTTTCCCCACATACACACACACACACACAAAAAAAAACATACATTTTGAATCCCTTCACCTTTTTTCCTTCTTCTTCCTCCACGCATGCCTTTCCAAGAAGCACCTGAGAAGAAATCGAGCAGACAGTTGGACTTGTACCCGGCAGGACACCGGTTCTAACAAAAAACGCCTTCTCCCTGGTCCCTTTCTCATGAACCGCATCTCCCTCGCCTTTTCCTTGCCACTCTCCTTCTCTAGATACATATCCATCAATCTATCTATATGTTTAACAACCCCTTTTATTTTTACTCTTCAATTGACGTTCCACAAGGGACAACAAATAAATATTTCCAACCCTCCTGTATGCACCCAATTCATATTGTATATATCATATATATTTATATACAATATAATAGTAACCGAAAATAAAAAAATGGAAAATAAAAAAAAAATCAATAAATAAGCACAAAAAAATCACTATATATTTATTTATGGGTTCTGCACACAAACATCGCAAAAGGAAATCGGCCAAGTTGCATCATTCCGTTTCATTGACGTTCAATTTCGCTCAGTTTCTCTCTTTTTAATTTTTTTTGACTTTTTGTTTCAATATATTTGCACCAGCCATTAGAAAAGGAGGTGGCCATTTTCCTTATCGTTGGCGTCCCTATCGTTGGGCGTCACGGGGGGCGGGGAGATAATCATTGCGGGACGGAAACGCACAGGTGGAAGAGCCTCTTCCGCAACAAAAACGGGCGAATGATCCTGCAGAAAGGAATTCTTCCCCACCGCCACTAGTTGTATCTTCCTTTTCGCCACCACAAAACCGTCATAAGGGAGCATCTTTGCCTCATTTTTTTCAATTTCTTTTTCCCCATCTTCTCGCCCCGGCTGCGAACGGTACAAAACCGTCACCAAACTTTTGCCGTCACCGTCATCGTCACTGCTGCCGCTATCGACACACTCCACGGCGTTTACTCCCTTATTCGGCGCAGAGGCCCCGGTATTCTCCTGTTTGGTCCTCGCATCCACCCATCCCCCACCACGGCCATTATCCTCCTCATCGCTCCAGGTGACTATTTTCATCGGCGGTTCCCTGTGTGCAGTCGCGTCGGGGGTTCCTTTTCCGTTGGCTTCCGCGTCCCCATCCCACAAGTAATTATCCCCGGCGTCCTCACCATCAACGATCTGATCGTCAGTAAACACCAAATCGTACTCAACAACATTTCCGTGTGCATTCAACGTACATTCACCACCAACCTGCCCAGTGGCTCTTGCGACAACTTGCTGTTGTTCCCTCTTCAGACTCTGTCGAACAATATTCGCCAGTGCATTGCCACCACTGCTACAACCATCACCACCACCAATGCTACTGCTGTCATCACTACAACTCTTATTTGTAATGACAATATCGGGTTGCACTGCTTCTGGCTTTTTATTTTTTGCACTATCGTCGGACGGTGCATCTTTCTGCTCTTCATTCGCCTCAAGAACAGGATTGGTTATGCTCTTTGGGCCTTCACCGTCAGATTGTTGGTTGCTTGGGGTGTGTGAGGGTTTCTCATCCGTGGCCCAGAGAGTCTTTGGAGCAACAACAGTGGGCAGTACAATAGTACTTGACACCAGACCTTCGTGTCCGTCCCTTGCTTCCTTGTCCGCCGCACTTTCATCGTCCTCGCCCTCATCTTCACTATCACTGTCGCTTCTCCGCAGTCGCATTGGTGGCGACGGGGGCGGCACGGTGACTACGACGCTTGAAGTGAATCCAGTCTCCGTCTTCTCCGAGTACTCCTCTTCCTGCGCCTCATCGGGACTGCTCCCAATACTACCACTCTCAGAAACGTGCTTGTCATTTAAAGCCAGTGAAACTTTCTTGAAGGAAGTGATAAATTTTCCTGGTTGAATTGGATCGCAGTCGATCACCGGAGAAGAAGAATGCGGCAACTCCTCGACCGCATTATCCCTCACTTCTTCGGGATTACTGTATATGTCTGCTTCTTCCAACTCTTCACAATTAGCAACTTCTCTCTGGTTCTCAGTTGCCGTGTCAAGCGCTATGGCAGGGCTGCGGGTTTCCTTGTTCTTTTCACCAGCCACTTTTTTCCTGTCTTCCCCTTCGTCGTTGTTCATTTTCAAAGGTGGAAGGGGGGCTAAGGCAAATTTGTCATCACGTTCTTCTGGGTCTGCGCTGTTATAAAGAGAAGCATGCGGTGATTTTGAAAACGGTTTTTCGACATCTTGGGCTTTCAATTTCAATGAGCTCTTCTGGTACTTCTCTAAACCACTCCTTTTGCGTCCTGTGGTCGCAACTTTATCCAGCGACGCCTTGCGTAATCCACAGCAGTTGCCCATCTTACCGCCTCTGGCTTTCCTCTTGTTTTCTTCGTCTCCTTATTTACTCTGCCTCTGTGCTCTTAGTGGAAAGTGGAGTACACAGACAGGAAAACAGAAGAAAAAAAAAAAAAAAGAGCACTAAACGCTTCGCCCGCGTCTTTCTTGTCTCTCCCCTCCTCCTACAAGTTATGTGTATATATGCGTGCGTGCCGGCGACCTCTGTCCATAAAAAGACGTAAATCAAAAATACGTAAGAAAAAAAAGAGACAGTTGAGAGTTATAAAGGAATTCTGCGGCTGCTTTCTGGGGTTGTGTGCACTCTGTGGTTTGCGTCCAGGGCGCGCGTAATGATCACAGCTGCCAAAGGAAAGTATGAGGGGGAATGCAAGAAGGGAAAATACAATAAATGAACAAATAAATACAGGGTTCATACCGGTATCTCTCAACTACAAAAAAGACGACGTGATTTTGTGTGAGTATTCGCGTGCACACAACGAGAGGCAGTCTTTCTTTCCAACCATCGCTTCTGACACGGCAGGCCATGGAATTAAGCCAGTTGAGTCAGTCTCTAAATGGGTGAAATAAGGTAAACAACGACAACAACAATACACTCAAAAAAAAACAAAAAACGACTTCCTCCACTGCAGCCAGCACGCAGAAAGGGAGCATTAATCGCCACACGTACAACTCATCCCAGGATGACAGCCCCGCCCACACACTTTTTCTTTTTTGAGAGGCTCTTAGCGAATAGTCTTGGAAACACCGAAACGACGGGAACGAGAGACACTCTTTCCTCCCTCGCGACGCTCCACCACCTTGTGATAATTCTCATTGCCATTCCCAGGGTTCAACACGCCCACAAAAAAAGGATTTAAACTTCTCCGTGGTGCAACATGATGGCTGCCAACTCCCTCCTCAACCACCGGCAATTCTCCGCCCCTTCTTATAAAACTTCTGCCGCCAGTTTCCTCTCTCTTACTGGCCCGATTGCCGTCAACTCCGTTTTTTGTCCCCAAAGAAGAGCGCAAATTGGCGATTGGCGTTGCCGCCGAGGATGAGGAACCTCCCACCAGAATACTAAAACGTCTTCGCTCCACTGGATTCCGGGAAAGCGCACTTTTTTTCTTTACGTCAACGCCAATAATGTTTTTCCCACCACTACCACCAATACCACTACTACTACTACTACTGCCACTGCTCCATGTAACGCTTCCAGGCCCTCCATTTTTCCGCGTGCTCCCCGGTCTTTTTGTTAGATTGTGAATCGAGTGTATTGATGGAGTTTCACTATCCCCCTTAGACGGAAGGAGGTGCAGCTGGCGACTGGCTAATTCGGGTATTTTTTGACTTGGATGTGTCTTAAAACCCTCTGGTGACATTCTCGTTTCATTTGCAGTTGATGGCCTCGTCAGCTCCTGAGACTTGGCATTCCCACTTATATCCTCCGCAGATGCCAGGTCCTTTTTAAGAAATGGGGATGGGGTTATATTCCTGTTCGGATGTTCCGGTTCAACATCCGACTCGATAAGATGTCCACAATTTAATCCCGCATTCAAGGTTGGCACCGCAGCCGGCACATCCCCCTTTAGCATTGGCGGGGAATCCATGGCAGTTTTATCATAAGAGCATTCCAAATGGGTGTACGGAAGATTTGCATCCCGGTCACTCACGACATTCTCGGACAAATTTTCACTGTGGACTAGCAATCGTGGAGGTGTATGATGTATGGACTGATTAAGACTGGATACCCGGTAAGCAGCGGGAGGCCGCATACGCTCCATTTCCTTGATGACACCGGACTGCGTTGTCGTGCGTACTTCATGCGGCATGGGACTGATGCGACGTGAAGAAAAAAATGAAGTGGACGGCGATAGGAAGCCTTGGTCGCCACGACTACACCGCCCAACGTCCTGACCCAAAGCAGAAGGTATCAAAGATTCTGGGGGTGTAATTTGCCCAGTGGTGGCATCTACCGGCGTCCCTGGAAGTGTTTTATGGTCCAATACCTTTGCAGCATCGTAGTCTTTCCGCGATTCGCCGTGATTTGCCACGCAGGCTGAACCACGCTCACCGTAATAAGGGGAAGAGACAGACGATACATTAAATTGAGTTAATGCGTTATAATCGATAGCATCCTCTGTGGCCTCGTGGGGACGGCGTGCAATCAGCGCGGAGGCGGTTGGCAAAGATGGAGGTAGTGGTGGTGGTGGGGAAGGAGATAAAACAATGGGACGGTGACGAGTAAGATCTGTCGCCGCTGTTGTTTTTTTATGCACGCGTTGTGCTGTTTGTAAGGACTCTCGCATCCTTGCCCCGTCAGCAGCTGCAATCAAGTCTTTCTCGGCGTCAGCCTGCTCGTGTCGTGCAGCACCCGCACGAAACAATTGCACAAGCTCCTTATCCAGCCGATGACAGTAATTGCGCAGTCGAATCACCGCGGAGACATCCTCAATACCAAAAACGGTTGGAAAAGAAACAGTGCGTTTGGGCGCAGCCGCATGAAAGTGAGATTCATCTGGAGGTCTGAAGACGCGGGAAGCGGCGGGAGTGGCAGCGGTAGAAGCGGCATCATTCACAGCCAAAATGTCCAGCTTTTGTTCCATGGGCCTGGAACCATTCATTCCTTTTTTTTCACCACGGTGCTTCTCCTCCTCATCCTCCCTCTTTTGGGGCACTTCCTCCTGCGGCGATGGAGGTGATGTGCCTCTTTCTCTTACAGAATGGTGACCCTGGTGATTCGTCGCTTGCTCCTCGTGCGCCGAATAAGAAGAGGATGAAAGGGATGATGAGCGCCCGTCATTTTTTTTTCTCCATCTCTTGTCCGTCTTCGTCGTCGTCGTCGCGATTGAATTCCCGGTGTAGAACAAAGACATATCGCAATGTTTTTTTCGGCTGTTCGATTTTCTTGCAGACAATCGAGGGCTTCCTACTGAACGTGAAAACTTCTTTTTTTCCGAGGCATCTCCACGGCAACAGAACGTCGATGCTGTTGGCGTGTCACGAGGCAATTCCTTACCTCCACTAAAAACAGGGTCCCGATTCACCTTTCCATTCATCATGGAGTTCGGTGGGGTAAATGTGGAACCCGAGACTACACCCACAGCTACATTTGCATCGATACTGTACGGATGATCACCGAACGGCTCTTGCTCTTCCACGCCAAACGTTGCACCACTTAATGGTTTTCGCAATGTCTCTTCTCGCCGCGAGAGATAGTCTTGCCAATGGCACCGTTCATCCTTTTCTATTCTCGGAGGAGGAGGAGGAGGAGGCTGACGAAAAGACCAAAAAAGTTCATCGTAGTCACGCTCCAAGCGATCTGCTTTCTTCTTCAAGTAGTCTATAAAGGTCCGGTGCGCGGCTGTGTCTTCGTTGGGGAGCAATCCTCGGTCCTCAATCCAACGACAGAGGCGCTTCTCATCATCCCTGATACCGCACCACGAACGGTCTTTCCGCTCCAACGTTTTGAGGCTGGCGCCACGGCCATCGGAGGCCCTCGCCAACGGAGATGGATCGCTCTCCGTGCAAAGCCCCTCTTCTATTTCCGCATCAATTCCAATAAACTGCGGTGCCTGGTTACTACAAAGTCGAGAAGCTCGGCGTTGGTGAGCATTACTTTGTTCCCCAATATCGCCGTACAATCGTGAGGCCGCAAGACAACCACAAGAACTTTGCTGTTGCTGCTGCTCCTGCTCCTGATGATGATGATGATGTTGCCGGGGTGAATTCCACGGTCCTTTCTCCTCTGGAGATGCTTTACTTCGGGCTGTGCAAGAGGATAAAGAGAGTCCCGTCTCATGTTGTTGCTGAATTCGACTAAGAAGCTCCGTCAAAAGTGTGATTGAGGGTGCAGAGGTGCTAACACCACGCTGCTGTGGTTTTTGCGATAATGTGTCTTTTCGCCACTGTTCCTGCTTGCTGCTGTTGTTGATGCAACTCTTGCTGGCATCGACGCAAACCGGCATCGGAGACTGTGGCAGCGGAAAGAAGGCCGGTGTTTCAGGCGTACCGGATGCCTCTTTCGAGAGACCTTCCTTTGCTCCTTGCCGCTGCGGGAGAACAGGCGATATCCACAGTGGCGCCTCTTCATCCTGATTCTTTTCCTGTTTTGGCCTCCGCCCATCAGCACCGCAGGGTCCCACACACAATTGAGTTTGCACTTCGCTTTCGCTAACTGCAGTGCACCAACTCTCCCCGGGCAATTTCATCCGCTCTGGTTGACGCACAATGTATGTGTATGGTCCCATCGAACAAAGCGCATTAGACAATTTGAGAGACGCTGAAGAGCATTGACTCGCCGGTTGGTATTGCCTACAAGTTTTATCAGCCCCTTTGCGGCGGCTGCCGCAACCATACTTCGGTCGCACTTTTATGGTTGCATCCCCTCTCGAAACCATAAATAATAATAGATCGATAGATGCAGAAGGATGATTGTGTTCTTATTTGCGCCCCGGCCCTTCCCCACGTTCCCTCGCTGTGCTACCCAGCGCCACCCTCTGCGCGGCCTATCTTTTCTACATGTGGGGCAAAACACACGGGGAAGAAGCGGTGCAGCAACAGCAAAAAGAAGGTCATTAGGATAAAACTCAACGTCATCCGCGCTTTCCTCTGACCCTCATTGTGTCCTCATTCCCATCTCTCTAAGTCTCTCACCCTCGCTCTCTCTCATTCGCCCTCTAGGTCCACCCCACACCTTTTTTTTTTTTCTTTGCCCACACACCTGAATCAATTTATGTCTATTAATCTTAATTTTCTTTATATATATATATATATATATTCTGTTACTCTTCATCATTTGCCGCGCTTTTAAAGATGAACCCCCTCAGCGTTTTCTTCTTCTAATAATAATAATAATAATAATAAACGATCGAATCACCTTTTAATGCATGGTAGAGGTTTGAGAGTGAAAGGATAGAAAAACAAAGAAGGCAAGGATAAAAATCGGCGACCAATGAACACAGTAAAAACGATACCATCACGTAAATATGGCAACCAAACAAAAAACAATAACCAGAGGCGTGCTGTATGTATGGGTGTGTGTAGAGATAGAATGAAGCGCAAAAAAAAAAAAAAAAAGAATAAAAAATAAAAAAAGAAGGTAAAAAAAGAAAGAAAAAGTGTGTGTACACATGCATGCATTTCTGTTTATTTGTTTGTGTCTGTGTGTGTCTGTCTGTCTGTGTGTCTGTCTGTCTGTCTGTGTGTGTGTCTTTGTGTGTGTGGTAGAAATGCTTTGAAACTCTTTTGTTTGTAAAACACACCTCGTCTCTCTCTCTCTCTCTCTCTTTCTCTCACCCGTCTTCTCACTCTACTCAAGAAAAACCAAACTGCATGGACCTACGAGGCAAATAAATATCCCTTGCGTTCCCTTCTATTCGGGCAGCCCTTTCCAATATGAGCCGTGTGTGCATCTGGGCACTTTTTTTTTCGCTAAATATATATATGTATGTATCTTCTTGGTTCGTCACTCCTCTTTCTTACTTCCACTTCTCAATTTTTATCTCTTGCGCCTTCCTTCCATCTCCCGCTGCCGGCGTTGGCGGGCATCCTCCCTACGATCCTCGTACCGATCGGTATTTCCTAGCCCGCTGCTACCAATCCCACCACCTCTGCCACGTCGTCTCTCGCGCTCCTCCTTTAGAACATACCGTCCTCTATATGCGTCGTTCGAGACACTACTGACGTTGGCGGCGGTTGTTCTCTCCCTGCCGTGCCCTCGCTCACTCCTTCTCTCCCTCTCCCTCTCTCTGTCGGATAACTGCCGGTGGTAGCTCGAATCCTCGTGGCGGCGATGACGCCGTCGTCTCTCTTCATCCTCCTCTGGGTGGTGACTACCGCGCGGTCGTCGCTGATGCCGCCTTGCCTCTTTTTCATCGCCCCTTTCGCGTTTTCGGCGTCCGCTAGGCTCTTCATCACGCCTTTTCCTTGACGTTTCATCGCGTCGAGGACTGCGACGATGAGACTTATGGCGACGGTGAGTGCGGTGTCGGCTATTGTTGCTACCGCTCCGGCTGCGACGGCGACGGTGCGACGAGGTTTTCCTTTTCCTGCCATCACCCTCCGCATCGCCCACATCACGACGATGTCGCTGCTGGGGTCGCGCTGACGCAACGCTTGCACTCGACGATGATCCAGTAAACGAGGAGAGAGACGATGAGGAAGATCGATCACTGCCAGTGCTGCTCCCACTATCATCAAGAAACATCTGCGCCGCCGCCGCCGCCGTTGTGATGCTCGGCGCGGCAAGCACGGAGTTGTTGTAGTTGGCCCCCGCAACAGGTCGGTGATGGTTGTGGTGGTGTTGCTGTTGGCCGCCAGAAAAGGGCGGAGGGCCGAGCGCACCTAGCATGTCATGTGCTAACATGGCATCGGGGCCACCACCTGCACCGTTGTTGGCTGCAAATGACGAGCCGCCGCTGTTGTTCGGGAAAATGGCGTAAAACTGTTCCGGGTGATCTCGCATCGCCGCGTCCCAGCCAATGAAGTTAAAATATTCCAGCCATTCCTGACGGTAAATCCTTTCCTTAGTTTCCTTGTCGTACTCGGGGGGAATTGCCTCCATTTAAAAAAACAACAACAACAAACCTCCTCCTGATGGTATAATATTAATATAAATAACTAAATATATATTTATATTTATGTTTAATGCAATTACTTGAGGGATACGGTGGCCCTTATTTTTCTCCTTTTTATGAGTTCCCACTCAAAGCTTCTCCTCCCTACTTTTCTTTTAATGGGCGAAAAGCACAAAGACACGCTTGCAATGGATGGTTGCAGCAGAATGGCGTCTCTCTTTAGTCGTCTTGTACGGACTTCTGTCACCGTGTCCTTCGACCTCAAAAACAATTCAATAAGGAAAAGGGCAGAATTAATTATCGCTAGAAATAAAGGGAAAGATAATATATATATATATATATATATATATATATCGAGAGAGAGAAAACAAACAAACGCATAACAACGCATCTCTTACGTTCACTGGCGTCAGCACAAAGACGAGATGGAAAAAGGGTGGACACATGTATATATTTATATATGTATATATATACGGCAACTCAAATAGGCTATGAATGAAGCAAAGTGTGAGTAAAAAAAAACTTGAATAAATTTTTGTGTATAAATGCGTTTGTATGTGTGTGCCTGCGCCGTAAATGTGCGTTGACACAAATCGACAACACAAATAAAGAGCATTCTAAGCAACCATTCGAATACTCCTCTTACTTCCCATTTCTTTCATTCACACTCCGCCGCAAATTGGCCCAGTGAAAACCACACCCAAACCCACACGTGCACGCACATTGACATCCATCCCTTAATCGCTTGAGCATCCCCTATTTGTACCCAATCTACCCCTCACTTCCCACCATACGTCTTCTTTAAGGCCGCCATTTTCTCACACACCGTCTGACTCTTTCCCTTTCCCCATCCTTCTTTTATTTCTTTCTTCCTTTTTTTTTTTCTTTCGCCGCTGGTGGGCAACTCATTCGGATGCCTTACTTACTCTGATAATTAGGGAGACGTGTGCTTCTGGTGCTGCTGATGCAAGTAGAAGTGAGACATCGCAAATTTCACTGCCAAATGTGTCCGTGTGTCATGAAGTGATGGGCGGGCAGCTGCCCTCTTTATCCCCTCTCCCTCTCCCCCTTTCTGTCTCCCCTTCTCTCTCTCTCTCTCTATCGGCTTTAGTTGCTGTTCTTCTTTTTATTCATTTATTTTTCTTTTTTTTTTTTTTTTTTCCCCGCATGGCGCTCCGTTTTTTTTTTTTTTTTTTCTTTCTTTCTGTTTTCGTTTTTTTTTTTTTTTTTTTTCGTCTTAAGATGCCTGCAACAACTCCAACTGCTTTTTCACCCACTTCATTTGCCCCTTCGTCTCCGCATCGTTTTCCATGTTGACCGCCCGCTCCACCACTTCCCACACCGGGGCCGTCAGCAGGGCGCTCTTCCCCTGGTCGCGCAGCTGCGGTGAGGGCACACCCTTCAAAACACACGCCATGTCACCAATCAGCGAAACGGCCGCAGCAAACACTTCAACGTAGTCAAGAGACATTGCCGTCTGTGACGCGTTAAGGGCAAATAAAAGCATCTGCTGCAAGTACGGCTCCAGCTGCGTTTCGACGCTTTTGAAACTTTGGCACACGCTTGTATAAAAGACGGCAATGCTCTCCCATAGAGTCATGACATACTCTTCGTTTTCTTGGTCCTCGGCAATGTTGAGAGTCGCGCTTTGCTCATAGAATGCGCGAGCAATTTGCATAAAGGTATCAAGATACTGCGCAAAGTGGCTATCCCCAACATTCAACGCAATGTCGCCTAGGCAATTAAGGAAGGTGCACTTCAAGTTGCGGTCCACCTCCGGATTTTGCAGGTTCTGGTGTATCACTCTGAGAAATGCATCGATGTAGGGTGCAATATCCTCTCGAAGACACAGCGACAAGTCACCCAGTGCGCCTACGGCAACTACTGCAAGGTCTGGTTCATCCACGCGCATCAACGCCTTCAAAAGGAAAGGGACAAGATTTGGCATGTATGGACCGAGTAGCCTTTTTACGGCATGTGCAAAACTCCCCAACATTGTGAGAGCCTCGTCCAAGACCGTATCGCTTTGATTTTGCAAAATTTCAAACAATACCTCCATACTTGACCGAATATGCCCTGAAAAGCCTGCCTGCACCTTCTTCGCCACACTACCAAGCGACCCACACAACAAGCCAAGCATAGTCATGGCATCTGCATTGCTGATCTGGCCTTGCATTTGTAGCTGCATCATAAGCCGCATACGATTCTGAAGCTCAGGTACAAGAACATGAAGATACTCACAACAATCAATCGCTGCCGCATCAATCAAGACATTTAATGCCTCCTGTGCGACGCTTTTAATATTCTGATTGCCACCATTATCGATAGCTACCAGGAGTACGTTAAGAAGGTCGGGAAAGTACACGGAAAGCTCATTACTATCTTGGTCCTCTTCCTCAGAATAGAAAAGTGCAAGATTATGTAGAATGTGACACGCCCGAACCGCCATATCGCCCCCGCTGCTTATCAACGGGGTGATTATGTTCATAAGCTGCTGCAAATATGCCGGTTGCCCCAAGAAGACGTCACTGAAGAGCTCACACACGACGGCTAGCACCCAGCCTGAGGTATCGGCGAGCATCGGGTGCTCATCACGAACATATTGTAAAAGTCCAGGCAAAGACTGTGCAACAGTGTCTTGAATAGTACTCGCATGGGGTCCATTTAAAATACATCCAAAAGCCATTACAGCAGCCTCCTTTTCCCGCCAGTTGGAACTTTCAACTTTGCTGTAGACAAAGGGCATGACCAATTCAACCACGGGGTCGCCAATACACAATGCAAGGCTCTGGAGTAATTTGCCTCCAGCAATAGAAATGTTCCAATCGCCCTCCTCTTGATGTTCCTCCTGCTGAAGAAGTGCCTGAAGCGCAATATTTGTAATCATGGATGCCCCCTTCAGAGCATAGTCAAGACACCTTCCGTCACCATCTGTCTTCATATCTTGCTCCGTCTCACAAATGGAGATCCAAAAAAGCATTGCCTGAAGACCCACAGGTTCCTCATCATGAAAAATGGCATTTGTTGTAATTGCATGCAGAATTTCAATGTAATTGGGCAACGTTGAGTAGTACATGTCAGCAACCTTCACCAAAGTCTCCATAGCCTTTTCGCGGGTTCGCGAGCTTTGACTTTTCTTCGCGGTGCTGCATAGAGCGTCAACAAGGCGATCACGCTGTTCCTGTTGCTTCATATTGTCATGAATGAACTCCATTGCATTGCACAGCGCATTGGTGGCGTAATAGCATACATCCTCATGGCCGCTACTCATACCGTGAATGACAGCGGAGAGAATTCTGTTAGTGAAAGGCACAAGCGCCGCCTCCACCGTGTCATATTCACGACCTTCTTCACATACATAACCGACTGCAGTAAGTGCCGCTTCCTGGTATTGCTCATTGCTAGACTCCGCAGCGCCAAGAAGAATGTTGAGAAGATCAGGCCACTCTCCCGCAGGTAGCTCGATGCGTGAAAGATTTCCAACGATGTTTGCCGCCACATTACGTACCTCTTTTTGAGGTGACCCAAGCGCTAAAAGCACCCCCTGCTTCACCCTTACACGCACCTCGGGTGCAAGTGCCATCCACTCCTTTTCCAACGCCCGCCGAGCTGCCGTCTCTCGAATGTTCGGGGCGATAGAGTTCTTCAACAGCGTCCCTGCCATGTGACGTGCAAATGATGGTTTCGACTCCTCACAGAACTCCTCGAGCAATGCAAACAGGAAACCGGAAAGATCCGACTGTCTCGCCTGATTCATCTGCTGCTCCGCCGGCACACGCACGCTGGGATCCACATTGCCAAGCGCAAGCAGCAATTCCGTCAAGGAAGACATGACAGACAACGCCAAGACAACAATAACAACAACAGTCGGTCACACAGCAGCAGCAGCAGAAGAAGAAGAAGTCCTCGCCGCAGCCAATAAACAAAAACACGCAAACACACGCTACACCACCACCACCACCACAAACAGCCTATTTGAGTCAATGTCCTCGGTCACTACCCCCTTCCACCCCGCAAGGATGCCTTCCAAAATGCAAATTCCTGCAAACAAAAATAAATAAATAAATAAATAAATAAAAATAAAGAAAAAACAGAAGAGATCAGAAAAAATAAAATAAATCCACGTTAAGAAGGACAAAAAGAGACAATAAATGAACAGTCCACACCAAGCCAGAACATATCTTCCCCCCCTCCCTCCCTTAGCCCGTAGCAAACTTCCATACAAAAGTCCATTTTCTTTATTATTATTATTGCATTTCCTTTTTTTAAAATTCCCTTTGCCCATAACATTTTATTTTCCTTCCCTCTCACAAGAAACTCCACTCCCACCCTATTCAAAATAATCCTTACATTTTAAAGTGCCGATTGAAATAAAACATTAAAATAAAATTATATAAAAAGACGTAATTCTTTTCTTATTTTTTCTTATATATATATATATATATATATATATTTCGTATTAATTCACTTTTTTTCCAGTCCACTTCGCTCTTTCTTCCTTAAATACATTTCCTCTACGACCATGCGGGGAAGCCGAACTTGGCGTGTGCACCAAGCTCTTCTTCGATGCGGAGTAGCTGGTTCAGTTTTGCGGTGCGCTCGCCACGGCACGGCGCGCCCGTCTTGATCTGGCCAGTGCCGAGGCCCACCACAAGGTCAGCAATGTACGTGTCCTCCGTCTCACCACTGCGGTGCGACACCATCACCGACCAGCCGTTCGACATGCAGAACTTGGATGCCTCGATGGCCTCCGTGATCGTACCGATCTGGTTGATCTTAAGCAGCAGCGAGTTGCATGCCTTCTTCTCAATGGCCGTTTTGATGCGTGACACATTCGTCACAGTTAAGTCGTCACCGACGACCTGAGCCTTGCCCTTGAGAGCCTCCGTGATGCCGGCAAAGCCATCAAAGTCGTCCTGGTCGTAAGGGTCCTCGAGGCTCACAATAGGGTACTCGCTCACCCATTTGGCGTAAGTCTCGGCCAGCTGCTTCGCCGTCACCCAGGTCGCTTCAGGGCTCTTGAAGGTCAGGTTGTACTGCTTCTTGTTCTCGTCATATGTCTCACTGGCAGCGGAGTCCATGCAGATAGCAAACCTGCCCTTGTGTCCAGCCTGTTCAATCGCCTCCATGAGAATCGGCAGCGGCTCATTGATGTCCGTGATTGGAGGAGCAAAGCCACCCTCGTCGCCCACGTTCACCGCATCCTGGCCGTACTTCTTCTTGATGATGCTCTTCAGCGAGTGATACACCTCCGCACCCATGCGCAGCGCCTCGTTGAAAGAGCCTGCCTTCACTGGAGCAATCATAAATTCCTGGAAGGGCAACGCGTTGCCCGCGTGCTTGCCACCGTTGATGACGTTGAAGCAAGGCACGGGAAGACGAACCTCCTTTGTGCCGGCCAGCTCTGCCAGGTAACGGTACAGCGGAACGCCCTTGCGAGCCGCCGCTGCCTTGCTGATCGCCATCGAGCAGCCGAGAATGGCGTTTGCGCCAAGTTTGCTCTTGTTTGGTGTCCCGTCAAGGTCACGCATCAGCTTGTCCAGCGTCGACTGCTGCAGCTCGTCTTTGCCCACAAGTGCGGGCGCCAGGACATCGTTCACATTCTTCACCGCATTGAGGCAGCCCTTGCCCAGGTAGCGCCTCTTGTCATCATCGCGCAGCTCGCATGCCTCGTGGATGCCGGTCGACGCACCGGACGGAACGGCGGAGCGGAACACGCCCAGTTCCGTCGTTACCTCTACCTCAACAGTGGGGTTTCCACGCGAGTCAAGAATCTCGCGTCCGTGAACCTTTTGGATTGTCATGCTTCCTTATCAAAATTGCTTTTGATTTCTTTTTTCTTGTTGTTTTCTGTATAAAATTATAATATTTGTTGTGTTTTTGAATGCTGTTGATTATCCTCTATGGTGTGCACAGCGCAAAAAAAAAATAAATAATAAAAAAAAGAAAAAAGTAGAATAATAATAATAACAGGATAGTGAAGGAAAAAACTTCAATCGACAACCGACAAAGTTCACATTCACGATGTCACCTCCCCCCGTCCCCCCCTTTTTTTTCCCTTTTCAGTTCTCTTTCGCATGCAAGGATTTCTTTAAGTATGTTGAGACAAAATATATATATATATTTAAATATAAATATAAATATATCCTTTTGTTTCTTCAGAGCTGGCAATGATAAGACATGAATAAGGAGGTAATTGTAATACAGTGAAAAATTCCGCATGCAAAAGCTATACATAGCCGTTATACAAACACAAAATATAAATATAAATATGGATTTAAGTACATTATATATATATATAAGCATACATGCCTCAATTGCAAGATTATGGGGTGATGTTGGTGTAATGTGAGGTGACGTACTGATTCTATCAAAAAGGTACGCAGTCATACATGCAGCTACAACTGCACAAAGGTAAAGACGCCACAATGTCACTCGGTGATCTCCGCACTACTTCTGCTTTTGCTCAACCTCGATCCTTCTTTTTTTTTTTTTTTTCTTCTTGTTGTTGTTCCTCTCTTCTCGTTGTTCTCTCGTAGTGCTCACAATTTCGACCTCACAAACATCGGGCTTGTGACATGCTCTACCACCTGGCCACCGCCCGGATGTTCCCTCCCACTACTCCTCCCCCCTCAGTTCACACCGGTTTTCTACCGTTGTTGTCTGTTGCGCACCTCCCCGCATGTTCCACAACCTGCGGAAGGTAATTTTTGCAGCAAATGTCCATGATTAGATGGGACCAGAGACAAATATGCTTCTTGTACGTACGCACAACGTCTCAAATTTCTTTTTTTTTTTTTTAGGGGGGGTTTCCTTCTTCCGCCTCAATATAAATTTTTTAACATCATCACTTCCCCATCTGCAGTCTTTCTTGTCTTTTTAACTTTCCTTCTGGTCTTTATTTCTACCACTCGTGTCGTCCTCGGCACTCCCCTCGCAGCATACGTACAAGTGCATGTATCTAAGCACATTCGATTGGAAATGCCCGCGTTTTTTGTTGTTCTTTGCATTACTGTTTAACGGCTTATTTTTTATTGCCACTGCCACTGCCGCCTCCCTCCCCCTTTGCTGAAGTCACGCTCTCACACGGTAAAAAAAAGAGGTTGTTTTTCTTCTTTTCTTTTTCCTCGTCATTTTGAAGCCCACAAAATAATATTATCATTTTAACCTCGAAAAACAAGCACACACAATAAATAAATAAATAAATAGAAGAATGTAGAAAACCAAAAAAAAAAAAAAATCAATCACGCAGCAAGATGCTAATATTTCTTCAGCTCATTTTGTGTGTCTTTTTTTGCAATCAAAGGGGTCCCAAATACATTACGTCGGTTTTTTTCTTTTCTTCTTTTCTTTCCCCCCGCCCTAGTTGATTTTCTTCTACACGTTGCCATCCAGACCTTCTGAGGATGGGGGTGCCGTCGCCTTTGTTGGGGAAGCACCGCCGCCCGCACCGGTGTGATTCGCGGAAGAAAGCGTCCCTGCGCCGGCCCCACTCATGCGGCGGCCCATCTCATTCTGCAGCCATTCGCTGGGGTCCGTTCCAAGCGGTGGTTGGTAATCGATGCTTTGGTTACGCTGTGCGGTGGAGCGTGGAGCTGGTGGTACAGACGGCTGTCGGTCCATTGGGTCCTGCTGTTGTTGTTGTTGGCGTTCTTCTTCCTTACGGCGAAGTTTATCGGAGCGGGTCTCGTGACGGCGGACGGCATGAGGCACATCCGGACCAAAACGCTTCTCCTTCTCATCGATAGCCGGCTGGTAAAGTCCCGGCAGACGTGCGGCCGGTGCTGGTTTGCCAGAACTTTCGTTGCTATCCGTTGTCATTGACTCAGAGCGGCCGGCGGCAGCGAAGGCAGCGGCCGCCGTGACATCGGCAGCATTCTTCTGCTTTTTCTCTTCATTGGTACTCTCATTCAAGAGACCCCGACGGGCGGCTTCATTGCGCGGGTCCTCATCTTCCAGGGAAACGTCACCAAAGCCATAATCTTTGTACGGCAGGCCAAGTTCATCACAGATACGGCGAGCCTCGCGCCAACAATTAGCCCGCATTTCATGCAACTTGCGGCATGCCTTGTCACGGCGGTAGGCGGCCTGCACATAACTTGCCGCAAAGTGCTGCGCGGCCGTTGCGCTACTGTGGTGCACCAACACAGTCGGCAAGGCGCGGAGGGAGCTTTCAGAGAGTCGCCACACCGCCTCAAATTTGACACCGTCATCTATCTCGTCTTCACTAAATGCCATTGCGAGGACACGGCGGGCAAGTGGCAACAGGACCTCATAGTAATGAACCTTACCACCGTGATCGGGGATGTCGTACTCACGCAGAAGACGCAACAACTCGGCACGGTTTTTCCGCGAACTAAGACCCAGCGGTGGTCGCAATGCCTCCAGCAACTCTGGTAATTTCCTCGTCCGTAACAAGAGCGTCGCGTTAGGGTCACGTGCCGACCACAGGTCACGAAATCGACGTAGATCATTTATGCGTGCCACACTCGCCTTCATGCGTACCACTGTCACGTAATGATCCACGACAACCGCCAGGTACAAATTAACAATCATGAGGGCAAAGCAAATGACAATGGGCACATAAAACACCGGTGCCCAATTCGTCGTTTTACAGTCAGATATTGGGCAATTATTTCCATCGGACATACTGGATCGCAGCATCGAGACCCAATCTTCTAGCGTGGCCAGCCTAAAAATCATCATAAGAGCATTGGGAAACGTCCGGAAGTTGTTGTATGTATCGTCAATGTATTGCCCAGCAACGGGAACCACAGGACCAATAAAATGCATGCCAAGTACTGCAAATACAAAAACGGCAAGCGCCAAAATCAACGTGACATTCACAAGAGAAGATGCAGAGAGCAACAATGCTTCGTGCAGTAAATGGAGATGGTGTCGCACAGGCACAAGAAAGTCTACAAGTTTTAACATACGACCAAGATGTAAAAGACGAAGCGTATTGACATTGAACGGCACATGATTTCCGACCGTCGTGTTCAGGCCAATCTGAAGGTAGGAAAGAGATGTGACAAACACTTGAAAACAAAATGAATAGCGTGAAAACGCACGTAAACCATGCGCGGTGAGTTTCATGAGTATTTCCAGTGTAAAAAAAGCCACCCACAAGTGCTCCAGTATATCCAGGGCCTTCTCCTGCCTCGAGCTGTTGCCATACCAATACAGTGACATGGTGATCATGTTACAAAGAAGTATGCCGGCCATCACCAACTCAAACGCGGGATGGATCACAATTCGGTGTAGGAAGCGCGAAAGGCAATTACCCAACGGTACAAGCTCTACACGGGGTCTGAGACGTAGAATCATGCGTTGCATACGTAACCAGAGTTGGTGCTCAAATGTAATATCCGTAACACCCTCCGCGGCATTCTTAGCGAGCAGATAGCAGTAAATGAGCGAGGCAACAAAGAGTGAGAACAAGACGAAATGTGAAACGTAATAATACGCAACAAAAAACAGGCCCTTGGATGGGTGGCGGTTGTAAATGGGCTCAAACTCCATCGACCACCCGTCCACGCCGGTGTAGATGACGTCTAGCCACCGGGATCCCGTGCTCACCTCAAACATTGTCAGTAAACTTTCATAGAAATTGTCAAAGTTGCGCTGCGGCCCAAGCCACATGGCACCCGCTTCCTCACATGAGGTTTTGTTGGAAAACGCGTGGGAGGTGCAGCTGTGTGTTAGACCCATAAACAGACGCAAGGCGAGAATAGACCACACAATATAGTTCAACAAGAACAACAGCAAGACATTCACCAATGTGGGCACAGAGTCCCACATGGTCAGTGCGAGCTTCGAGAGTTCCTTGTTGAAGCGACAGTATCTCATTGGTCCAAGAATACGGAAGCATCGCATCACTTTTAGAAAACGAAAGTGCGAGTACTTAGGCGCAATGGCAATAAGTGAGATAATAGTAATAAAGCAGTCAAATGTATTCCATCGGTGCCAAAAGTACGCCACGTGACAGTCAAGAACAACACCCATGCTGATCCACTTGAGCACCATTTCCACCGCAAATATTATGGCAAAGATGTCATCAAGAATGTGCAATGCCAAATACTTCTTCGAGGTACGGTCCTCATCCTCCGGGCTGTAGAAGCAGAGACAAATGGAAGCCGCAAAAATAACGGCAAGAATAAACCATTCGAACCATTTGGACTCCACAATAGCCGTTAAGAAACGACGCGCCGGATGACTGGGAGAAAAAATAAAAAATGACCGATCACGCCATGAACGATGAAAAGAGCTGTGAGTGGCAACTCGCTCTTGTGTTTTCTGATGAGCAAGGATATAGGCGAGGGTGGCACGCCCCACCTGTTCCTCCCCAAGATGTAAACCAATCAACCATTGCTGCAATTGTAATGCCTCAAGCGTACGATCCCACGTGCGGTATTCCCTTAATTCAATATCAGCGCAGGAAAGATATTCAATGCTCTCAAAGAGTAACATGCCACAGCTCCAGGCCTGTCCAAGAACAGTTTCTACGGCCTCCCGCGTCGGTGGTCCCCCTAACTCCTTCTGTAAACGAACATATCCTATAATGGTATTTAAAACCAACTGTCGTGAACTGCGCACTGCGGCCATATGACAATGTTCGGCGTGCAATTCGTCCGCCGTGCGCTGTTGAACATTTGGCGGGGCCCGCAAAGGGATCTGCTTATGTACATTACAGTCCAGACAGCGTTCAAAGACACGGCGGTGACGTCCCACCATGATATGCTTATAGCGTAGACGTGGACCAGGAAGAAGGACGTGCTCGTAAACAACCCCACCACTACCACCACCACCACCACCACCATCCACGACAGAGTTTTCAGGATCTCCATTCTCCTCATTTTCACTGCTTTGTTGATAATTTTCCATCGCCTCTCCATTTTTTTTTTCGCCGGATTTATCGTATCCCAAGGTGGTAAAGTAACCAGTGACACTTGAATGATGTTCATTGGGCAAGTTACTGGAGCCATGCACTCCATATAAACCTGACGCTCGCCCTCCAATTTGGTGGGAAAGGCCTTCAGTCTCTGCTGCTGTATCGGCAACAGAACCATTGCTATTATGTAATGCCTGGTCAGATGGAGTCGACGTAACGGGCAAAAAATGCGCACCATTCAATTCTTCGGCAACGCCCCGATACGGTGTTGCAGGAACGGCACTGTAGCGTCGAGCAAACCGTAGCTGGGCGTTTTCTGCCTGAAACCGAGAAATAGGTGCTTGCGCAGGATGTGGGGGAGGCTCATCAAATGTACTCGGCATACTCATTTGCCGCTGAAGCTGACCGCCAACGTTGACAAACTGCGGGGCCAACATCAAAGGGGGAGCGGACGATGGCATCCCATACGATGCCACGTTTCCATTCGTGCTGAAACTGTCAGAAAATATCGTTTGAGGGTCCGCGGAGAAGCCACGCCGTGTCATGCTTTCTCTAGTGAAGCGTTCCTTTGCTTCAGCAATACGAAGTTGCCGACGCATGTCTTGATTGAGGTGAAATACTTCATCAGGTGCCACGTCGCGTCGCTCAAACCCACCATGAATGTGTTTAAACGACCGCCACACTGTAAAATCAAACCAATGCAGGCGCGGCCCTCCACGGTTTTGATGACCACCTTTACTCGTTGTATGCAAAACATAATCTTCCCGCTCTTCTTGTTGTTGCCAGGCCCATGCAAAGACGGCGATGAATAAATAACGGAATATAAACGCCACAAAAACAACCGCCAAAAAGTATATGATCGTGTATCCACCACGGACCCGCATACCGTCCCACGACAGGTACAACCACTCGTCACGAACGTACGAAAACGCCTGTGCGACGGCAAACGTGGCATGTGAAAAGGTGTCAAAGAAGCCAATTGTTGCGTAATCGTCATTCTGAGTCGTTAGTCTACCAAAGCGTCCCCCAAAAAAACTCATGCCCGTCAAAATCCACATAAACATGTACACAGAGAAAAGGATTAGTGCATAGACAATATCCTGAAATCCAAGGAGAAACACTCGTGTTACCCGTCGCATTGGAGCGAATGGTGCAATGCGAAAAAGTCGTAGAAACCGTACCCAATTCAGCACCGTGATTGTGTTGGAGTGACCAAAGCCCAATTCAAAGAAGCCAATGACGGTAACAATCACGCAAATCACGTTGATGAAATCACATACAAAGGGACCTGGTCCCAATACAATAAAACGAATGATAAGCTCCAGCATGAACAATGAAGTGAAACACACACCCGCGATAAAGAGACCGTCTTCCCAATAAACAGGCTGTCCATAGTGACGCGATGCATTAAATACGCCATTGGCAAAAACGAGAAAAAGCATTATACCACTAAATAAGGTAACAGGTGCGTTCTCAACAATATTTTTTGCCATGCGTATGGGTGAAAGTTTTCCAAGGTACTCTTGATCTTCATTCGCAGGCTCTTCCGGTTCACTGTAATCATCCGTGCCGTCGTCTTCAATACGATTGTTTTTAAGAATCAATTTCCCTCGACGTGCTCTTTTTTGACGCAGTTTACGAAGGGCAGCTTCCTCATACTTGTTCACGTAGTTAAGTGGCAGTAAACCAAAGCGGGTTTGCATCCGTCTATGCTCCCAGAGATATTGTGTAAGAATACGAGGGCATCCCTCGGTAAACATATGAAGAATGTTGCGTATGATTCCCCAACTCTGTCCAAATGTTTTGGCGTAGCGGAAGTCACCACCTTCGGGATCGTGAATGAGAATTTCCTGTGACTGTGCTACTCCACCTGCCGAGCCATTTAAGGCGGCGGCTGCCGCGGTACTTGTGCGAAGCGAGGTAGAAGCGCCACTGGTGTTGCCTCGCGTTGTCGCAGATCGACGATTTGGAATGACCCCGGCAGACTCCCGTATGGTAATAATATCACTTCCCATTTCGTCCCCATGGCCCACACCGCGTCTCATTGGATGCGAATGCGACAAATGTGAAGAGTTCATATTATTGTTTGTGCTTCCATCAACCCCTCGTGAGCCACGGGTGAGACCGCCTTGGAGAGTCGTGTCGTCCGCTTCCTCTGCTTGTTGATAATACTTTAGGAACTGCAATCGCTCCTGTTCATTCTCCAGGCGTACGGCCAGAGGCAACCTGGTGCCGTGCGCTGCGCCAATCGTGTAGGTAAGAGGGTGGTGCTGCACCGTCCCCACACGCCCACCGAGCGCAAAGTCCCCGCCCCCCATATTATTTGTCGTATTCGTGGATACGGAAGACATTTCAAAATTTCCATTCGTGTGATCCGTCTCCTTCTTATCAACTTTAAAAATCACACGACGTCTCCTCTCACCCTGCTCTGCAATGTCGCGTTGCCGTGTAAGAGAGAGATGCAACTGCACCCGTTGCTCGTCCGTCCATTTGGTGCGCTTCTTGGCGGCACCGCTGGAACCAGTGACGACGGACGTGTTACGTTCGCTATTTCGCGAATTGAAAGATCCACTTTCCGGAAATTTCCCATTGCTGCTGGCAGAGTTAACGCGCAGCGTCGGATAGCTAGTATCCTCCGGAGCAGCCTCGGCAAGATGACCTCGTAACCGCCCACATTCGTCACGCTCTACAAAGTCCCGCAGTTTGATGGCCTCCGTCAAGCGTTGTCGCTGCTCCAGCAGCATGGCGTCAAAGAGTTCCAGTTGTTTCTGTTCAAAAAGACGGCTGGTTTTCTCAATCTTCTCAATAAAAACACCAATGAAAAGGCCTGGAATGAGCCAGGCGCATAAAAGAATGGTGAAGAAGTAGTACAAGAACGCCAGTGTTGTCACCGCATCGTTGGTCTCCTGCAGTAGGCTCGTCCACCCCTGAAAAGTCATAATTTGAAACGTCGAAAGCAGCGCATGCCCCACGTCATCAAAGCTGCGAAAGTCATAATTTGGATTTGGAAATCCATCCGAAATACAAATATATCCGGGGTCACATACATGACCCCAATAGAACCAGTAGTGCCCCGTTGCCTCTGGTCGGCAAAGCTGCGAAGTCGCAGCACCTGTCAGGGAGTTCACGCACCGATAATGCAGCACCCCGCGGAATAGCTGCAATCCCAACAAGGCAAAGAAAAAGAGTGCGTACACAAGAATAATGGAAGTCTGAAACAGCTTACATGTAGACCGCAAAACAGATTTGGCAATAATTTTCATCCGAATCGGTAATGGAAGATAAGTACAGGCCTTGATAATGCGAATAAGGCGAAAAGCTGTAAAATTCCATAGATCCCTCCATTGAGTGCAATTCATGATCATCAGCACAAAAACCGCTGTGTCAAGCCAATGCCACGGAGATCGAAAGTATGCACGTGAATGAAGAATACACCCGGATGCAAACAGCCGTGCTATAATCTCAATACCGTAAAGAATCGTGTAAAGAAAATCTGCAAAAACCATAAAGTCCGGTTTTTCAAACTCCGGTGCCCCATAGCGCGACCAGGAGGCGGTAAAAATGGAGTACCCAAGTATGATCAGTAGAATCATCAACTCCATAAGCCAATGGTGCAACACATTATACGTCACAACACGTGCCTTCATACCTGCTGGAAATACAAAAAAGGAAGAATGATGCAGCGCAATGGCACGCCGGTGAACTTGGTACATCCAGCCTGCATTTTCTCGGTTTTTGTCCTCTAATTCCTGCGGTGTCCGTCCACCTGTGAGGGCACGCAGGTTCAGTGTATCATAAACAGAGCGTACAGCACGCTCCCGAAAGATGTCTTTTTGCAGACGGCGTGGGTCCTCCTCCAGCACGGAAGAACCCGATGAAAAGAAGGAATCATCTTCAGTATACTCCGCAAGTCGATCGAAAAGCAGAGCTTCTTCATACATAGCATTGTCGTCACGACCATTTCCCACAATGGCACCCGGATTAAACTCCACAAAGAAACGTTCGACAGGGCGAGTCTGCGTTGGCAATGGACAAAGTACCTCTACTGTTTCCTCGCCAGAAATGGCACTTTGTGGTCGAGTGCCTTGTTGGCTCGCAGGTGTCATTGTCTTGCGCGATCTTGCCGATGAAGTACCCGCGCGATCCGTTGTTTTCCTTGAAGGTGTATGTTGTCGTTGCTGGCGCAGCTGCTCCTGTTGTGATATTGGCGACAGAGGATTTATCGTCGCGTGAAAAGTTGGGAGCCCGCCGGCGGCACTACTTTGGCCATCTCCATTCTCAGCCGCCCCTGATGCTTCGGTAGGTTGAGTCGTTGAGGAATTCATCGGCAGCCGCGGTGGTGGGGAGGGTCGAGCCCCGGGCTGCGCCTCAGTCCCGTCCAATGTTCGGTGTTGCAACGGCGTCAGACGCCCCATAGGTGGATGACCTGGCGCAGGCACGGACCCCGTTCCCGTTAGCGGAGGCTGCGAGGCGGCTCCCTTTACCGGTGGAAGCGGTAGAGGAAGATGAGGACGTCCCGTACTTGTTGGTGGAGCAACGCCACCAATAATAACGCGACTGCTGGTGTTACTTTGGCTACCAGACGCGGGGAGCCGTTGCTGCGTATGGGCGTTTGGCACGCCGATGTTTGAGTCCACTGGATACGCTGGAGGCACACCACTCATGTTGACAAATGAAGGAAAAAAATCGTATGATGACTATGGGGGAAAAGAGCGCCACACCCCCTTTCCTTTTCCTCCCGCGTGTACGCAACGCTGCTTGTACCGGTATTACCGCAGACAAAAAGGGCTTAGAAGAAGACCGCCAAAAACTCCTCCCGCTTCCCACAAAACGATGATGAAAATTAATGATAATAATAATAATAATAATAACAAAAGAGGATGACAAATTCGGCCTCTCTCTTTCTTTTTATTCTTCTTTCAAAAGAATGGCCTCTCCACTCCCCTTCCGCTCTCTAAATAATACACAAATGACACGATGAACCGGCCGGCTGCGAGAAATAAGTTGCTCCGCCGTCAAACGTCACCCACCACGCTGAAGAAGAAAAATTCACTTCTGGGGAAGCTGCTGTGATATGAAAACGATCAAACAGAAGGAAAAACGCCGAGGGGGTAGTACTATAAGACAGGAAACAACGTCCCAACTCTTCCCCGTCCTTCCACGCAAACAAAAAGGCCGAGACTGACGGATTCTTGTTTTTTTTTTTGTTTCGCTCGCGGGTCTTTTCCTCCTCCTTACAAAAAAAAAAAAAAAAAAAAAAAAAAAAACACCGCTCCTGTCTCCTTCCTCCTCTACAGTTAACAAAACGTTTCTGTCAGTGCCCTTGACTCTTCTCTCCTCTCACTGCCCTCCACCCCCTGTTGCTCTTTACCGCGGCAAGGATACTCTCACGGTAGCAAAGGGATAAATCTCCCCTCCCTCCCACCCCCAAAAAAGAAACAAGAAAAGGACGTCAACAACGAGAAAATAATAATAATAATAATCAGCTGGTCTACGTGCGGCGTTACGCGCGCACTCTATATACTGTTACCACCCTTCTGGGGACCGTGACTAAAAAAGAAAACAACATTGTCAAGAGAAGAAGAAGAAAAAAGAAAAAAAAAAGGCCAAGAAGAGGCAGTAAACCCAGCAATAGAATAAAAATAAAATAAAATAAAATCCGACCACGTATTGCAACACGCATAAACACACACACGCACAGAAAGAGAGAAAATAAAACGCAACGAATACGCATTTCGTTGTTTTTTTTTTTTTTTACTTTCAAAGCCCATACATACCCAGACTAAAAGAGCGATATATGTATGTATGTATGTATGTATGTATGTATGTATATATATTTATGTAAACGCAATCGCTAAAATAAAACGGTGCTAAAAGCTTTCAAAATAAATAAATAAAAAGTACGCACACACACACACACACACTAAAAAAAAAAAAAAAAAAAAAGGCGGGAAAAAAAGCAAAAAAATCACGCCAGAAATTTTCATTTCAAATTTCCTTTTTTCCTCCTTCCACTCGGTGTGCACGTATATTTTTCTCCTCTCTACAAGCATATGCATCTTTTTGTTCCTCCTTTTTTTCTTTTTTTCTTCTTCTATCGTTATCCTACTAGATACCCCCTTGTCACTGAAGGCCGGTTGCCGCTAATTTAGCCATCATCTCCTCCTGTATCTTTGCAAAAGTGTTTGGCTTTATGGTAGAGAGGGAAGCGGAAGAAGGGCTCATTCCCATCGCAAAATGCGTGTGGAGAGGAGTGGAGTCCATGTTGAAGGAGCAAGCAGGGTCAGAAGATGACGCAATCCACGGTCCATGCTGCTCCTGTTGTTGTTGCTGGGAATATAGTGCCATGAGCTGCTGTTGTTGCGCCAAAAGTAGTTGAAGTTGAGAAAGCCTTTCGGGATTTGGGTTATTTTGCATGTTAGACATGAAAGCCTGTAGTTGCTGCTGCGTTTCCAACAGCATTGCAGGCAATGAATTATTGTCTGCTGAGGACAGGGGCAAGGAAAGAGCGGAAAAGTCATTCGGCAAAACAATACCACCCCTCTCACTTTGCACCATCCCGCTTTCCCCCGCAGTGGAAGTCGCACCAAATAACGGCGACAAGGGTCTCTCTGCCGACGTTGAATTTGTGTGAGCTGTAGGAGCGTCCTGTTTTGCTAGGAACGGAAAAGATGGCTCGCGTTGTTGTTGTTGTATGGGTGGTGATGTAAACTGTGCTGCGTCACGTGGTCGATCCTCCATGAGAAAGTCAAACGCTGTTGCATTGCTGTTCTGAGTATTCACGGTTCCAGTGTCGGTGAATGCATGAGATAATGGTGGTGTTTTTGTTCTGTAGAATTCCAAAGCAGTCGTCGATTTGTCTGTGGCGGGTCCACCAAAAAGATCATCCAGCGCATTCCCTGCGCCAGCCGTCTTATGGCCATTACCATTGCTACTCATCACCGGAGAAGCTTTTAAGAAGCCAAACGAAGATGCCTCTTTGCCCATGTTGCCGGTATGGCTGTTATCAACAAAGGAATTTTCATCCGTGCTTTTTTGAGACTCCTCATTGAGAGACATTGGCGCACGCTTCCTCAATTTCGTCTTTTCTTTTGCGCTCCGGTGACCCACACGAACAGACATCCCACTCATGTTCGCCACCGCGCTCCCTGCAACTTCACTTTCTGCTGCCGTCGTCTTCACTGTGGAAACCGGCGCCGACCACAAGAAAGACTGCGTAGTGCTCCCCTCACTCTTGAACTGTTGTGCCTCCGTAAAGGGCAAGAGAGTGGAAGCACCACCCGTGCTTGGGGCAACAAACGCGCCGCCAGAAACGTCAGTCCCCGGTAGGCCAAGAATCCCCAAAACACGCTGTGCACGCTCCCGCAGCGTTGCCTGCACGACAAAAACATTTCGCTGAACGTCTTCTGGATTTTCAAGAAAGTAACGCAAAACTCCTTGCCGCATTGTCGCTGCCGTCTCCGCATCGTCAACATGTGGTTGAAGAAGCGCCTCCAACGCCACGAGCGCGTTCAGTCGCCGCTGCCACGGATGTTTCTGTGCAAGTTGTGAATCAAGCGCCTCGGCAAGCTCCTCCCAGCATTCCTCTAATTCACCCTTTTCCTCGTAGGCACCTCTTCCTTGTATCATTTCTGTGCCTATTCTACGGCACTCCTCGACAAAAGCGTGCAGCTCAACCCGTTGGGGTGTGCTTTTCATCTGACAGAGCCGTTGCACAGTTGCTTGAAAGGGGGTGAGCTGCTGCTGAGGCAGAAGAAACTGAGAATGAGAATTTCCCTCGTTTTTTTCGCTCGATGTCGGTTTTTCTTCATCCTTTTGTACATTCTCCACAAATTTAAAATCACCGCTCCCCGATCCCCTTGACAGAGGAAAAGGAACATTGGTGCCCAATTCGACTGGCTGGAAACCGCCTGCGTCCACTTCAGAGGAAGACACCACAGAAGCTCCGGTGGTACTGAGCCTAAGCGCATTTTCGTACAACTGATCCTTTGCGCTCTTGTACATCATATTCGGCTCCGTGTTATACAGTAAACCAAATCCACTTTTTGCCTTCTCCGATAGGGATGAGAGCACACGGCGTGTCTTGCTAGTATTTGCATCCATCATCTGTTTTGCCATGTGCTCCGCCCATTTGTTCGTCATGGGCATCGGTGCAATGTTGCCACCGTACATACCCATGGGCCTTTCCACCATCCCCCTCGTTACTGCATAGCCCGTCGTGAAGGATGACTGACCCGTCGTCGTGCTTCCTTTGCCGTTGCCGTTGTTCCCGTACCCCATCTCTATCTGCTGCCCCTCCTTGCGATTTGTAAATATGGCCTCTATGGCCTCTCTTGCAGATTGACGAACCTTCTCATTGAGGCTATCGCCGTATTTTAAATCTGGCTTCCCACGGTAGTTTGCAAATGTTTTTAGAGTTTCGGTCCGAGAGTTCTTCTTCAACTCCCTCTGAAAATCACTGTGTCCCGTTTCGCACATTGTTTTTATAATGCGCAGCACTTTGTACAGCGCATGTACGCCCGTATTTGGCTTCAGTTTATCAAATAAAGCATCAATAAACTTCATTTGTGTATTGTAGTCCTTGAATGTCCATTGTGCCATCTCGCGATATATGTACCCTGGTGTCGGCTCCTCGCTATCGACAACAGCACGCTTGAATAGACTCCGGTCCATCTCCCCCTATCCTACTTCCTTTATAGCTCAGCGAAAAAGGGACTGTACTTGACAATCTGTTTCCTTTCCCCCTCGTTGGGTTATTTACCTTCTGTGTGAAACGTTCAGAGAAGATCTATATGGGTGACGGCAAAAAAGACATGTAAAAAGGTTTATTTATTCCCATTTGTATATATTATGTATGCATGTCACACAAGGACACCATTTCCCTCTTTTTTCAACGAAAAAAAAAAAAAGAAACATTTGGCGGGTTGTGAGGGAGCCCCCAGAAACAAAATAAATCCTCGTGCCATGAGAAGTAATAAACCCCAAAATGACACACGCACAAAAATACAAATAAAACAAACAAACAACAAATAAATTTAAAAAGCCACCACCACCATCACCACAACGACGACAACAATAACGGCTCTCAGGGGGGAGGAAGGGGAGACATCTCTCGTACTCTAAATGCGTATTTAATTTTTATTCCCTGCGAAGTGCCTGCAGCAACGCACCTTGCTGCGCCACAAAGCCTTCCATCATCTGTCGTAATTGTTCTATCTGATTCCTCTGTTGCTGCTGCTGTGCATCCCACTGTTTCTGCAGCTCCTGTGTTAAGACGACGCTGTGCTCATGCGCTAATTGAACTTCTGCCGCTAGCCGTGCACAGGTCTCCTCAAGATGAGTCAAACGATCGTTTGTGCGTTGTTCTACTTGTCTTCTATGTGACGGGGACGAGACCATATGGCAGTTGGACGGTGCTGATCCATTAGTGCAATATTCCTCGTATTCCTCGTCACATGTCCTTCCAACATACTCCACAACACTCATCTCATCGTCAATCTCACTCGACCTCGCTGCTGCACCGCAGTCCCGGGCTCGTACAGACTCCATGGGAGGCAATTCAGAGGCATGTGATTTTTGGTAGCTTCCTTTTTCTCCTGCCTTTCCCTTCCCCCTTCTCTCTTTGTTATCTTCTTCCTCGTCATCTGAAAGTTGAGGCGGCTTTGAAAGAGGATATCGCCGCTCGCCCTCCTCGCGGGTAAATGCCAATGATTTTCTAACCTCACTCTCTTGTTCATCATGTGTGGTCCACTGTTGATGATGATGATGATGATTTCTATTATCCACCTCTCTCTCGCTCCTCGTGCGGACATTTTCCTCCGAATATGAGGATGCCACTGCCGCCGCTGCTGGTGTTGCGGCGGGACGAGAAGACGGCTGAAAGAGTGGTGGCTTCCGAGAAGAAGAGGATGAGGAGAATTGCGAATGGACGATAGAGGAGGGCATATGTCTTTGTGGCTTCGATAACGTTTGTGTGCTGCTCTGATTCGGAAGTGAGGATGGACTGACATGTTCACGGTTCTCCGATGACTCCATCAAAGAACAAAGACCACTGAACCCGGGCACATCTCTTGGCGTTGTTTCTGGAATGATTCCCGCGGGGTTGGAGGTGGACGCCGCCACCCGCGTGGTTTCTACAGGCCTTTTCGATATCTGTGGGCCTCCCCGCACACTCTCTGGTGCATAAAGGTGAATATTCGGATAATTTGCATACGCCGGCGACACACGCGGCAAACCCGAACGCCAGACCATGACAATCCCATCCTGTCCCGCAGTGGTAAAGCATGTTCCATCATCAGAAAAACGGGCGGTAGATACCGCCCCCTCATGTGCATTTAATGTACAGTACAGGTACCCCTCCTTCAGGTCCCACATCTTTACTGCGCCATCCGCAGATGCGGAAAGCAGCCAACTTCCAGTAGGCGCAAAACAAACCTCGTTTACTCCTCCATCATGCGCGTCGTAATGCTGCAGCAGTTGGTTCCTACGGAGGTCAAAAACATTGATAGTGTGATCTGCCGATCCTGTTGCCAGCGAACAGCCGTCTGGGTGAAAATCAACCGACCGCACGGATCCAGTGTGTTCATAAAAGGTATGTGTCGGTCGTCTTGAGCGGGGATCCCAAACTTGCACCGTCCGATCGTCCCCTCCACTTGCAACAAGCGAAATATGAGTTGGAAGGACTCCATTGTCATGAGCACCACCGCCCGACACGGCGACAGTTCGTACCCAATTCTGGTGCCCGCCTGTGAAACCGCAGACAAATTTGTTCCCGCCGCCTTTGACACACGTCGCGGAGGAGGCGTAGTTAAGGTCCCAGCACTTCACGGACTTGTCGTCCCCCGCCGTGTAAAGATGGTCATCGTGCGGGGCGATCGCAATTGACCTCACCGGACCCCCGTGCGCTCGCCAATGACAGCAATTCTCGGGGCTATTGTCATTTGTAAATGGCGCCGTCAATCCGCCACTCCGCCGAAGAGATGGCAACCACAGACGGACAAAACCGTCGTGGCCGGCGCTGGCAATCAGATGGGCATGCGGGCTCCATGCACAGTCGTAGACGGGGCCGCGGTGCCCGGTAAACCGCAGAGCCCGAACAGTGGGTTTCGCGCTCCACAAGAACACAAGCCCATCAGCACCGGAAGAGAAGGCGTATGTCGGTATCCCATCACTCGTGTCACCACGTCGTTCGAGCAATGACGAGGCAGACGGCTGAAACCCTGCAGCCAAAACGCCACTCCGATGACCGCGAAACGTTAACACCAGCGACGGACGAAACGGTTGCAAATTGAGCGGGTCAGTCGCCTCCACAAGTGTGCCCGACTGCCTCGCAACACTGTCGCTGCTCCTCTTCGCAGACAACATTGCAGAGCCCGGACCAGACACGTATGCGCAAGGCAAAAGCAATTCTATCACACACACACACGCACACACACACACAGACCCTCCCTATCCTTTCCCTCTTTGTATGCACTGATGCACGGGATACACTTGTATTCGCTAGTGAGCCTCCTCCTCCCAACCCCCTCGGCAAGAAGTACCGCGTTCCAACCACACAAACTCCTAGGGAGGGAGAGAGAGAAAGAGAGAGAAAAAGAAAAGCGGGAGAAAATACACAACAACACCGATAAAAGAAAAAAAATAAACTGTGCGTAATAGGCGCCCCCTCTTCCACACTCCAATCGTGCCGTGTGTATTTCCGTGTGAAGAAGGGAGAGATCCATTGGGGAATTGACGCGTATTGCCACAACAAGAGAAGAAAAAAAAAAAAAAAAATGAGGCAGAAACGCAAAACACATAATATATTCACATTTAAAAGAGTGTAAAAATCAATAAAAATAAACTTGGCCCATTTCAAAGATAGACCAAAAAATAAAAAATAAAAAAATAAAATATAATATAAAAATAAGTACAGACATATTAACAAAAATGTAAGCGTTGTGAGATATGCCCGTTGAGAAACATATAAAGTGCTCCCCCTCATTGGCACCAATATTTCAATGCCGCAGAAACAGACAATAATAATAATAATAATAATAATAATAGCATGCCCAGAAGCACACATACACACATGCTCGTATTCACATACACATAGACGCACAGGCGGACAGACGGAAGCCTACAAATTGAGGGAAAATGTCGCCCCACTCTCCCTTTTCTCTCACACCCTTCTATTTATTCACACATGTGCACATCACCAGCCGGATGATCTTCCCACTGCTCTGATCAATAAAAAAAAAAGAAAAAAAAAATGATACGTAAAAATGCACACAAAACATAAACAATAATAATAATAATTTTATTCTCAAAAAATATTTATTCCACTTCAATGCATGCAAAGTACATATTTATTTCTATACGCCTTCTTTTTCGATATTGCCCTTGTTGATGCCTCATCAAAGACACGCACCGCTCTCAGCTTTGGCAGGTGCCTCCCACTCCACAAATGGCACACTCAAATCGACGCGAAAACAAACAAAAATAAATAAATAACTCATTATCACTGCCACCAGGCAGAGGCTAAATATTCCTTTTATATTATTCGCCTAATTCAGAGAAGAAAAGGAGACGGTCGATAGAAATCAACCAAAGATGAAAGCGAAGAATGCAAAATCAATGCACCGCTTTTTCCTTTACCAAAAAAAAAAGAAAAAAAAAAAAAAGGAAAAAGGGAAAAGAAATATCAGGCATGATTACACCAAAATGGGAAACCAAAGGCACAGCCGCAACGGCTTCAATACTCATGAGCCGGCTTTGCAGGTAGATCCAGCACTACAGCGGAGAGTTGGAGCGCGCCCCCAAGCCCCGGATCACCTTTCCGGAAAGATCTGAGGAGCGACGAAAGTTTTCAACGGAGAGTGAAGGGATGTCACCCTCCTCAAAAAAATTGTTGTACGTCACGCAGTAAGCACAACCGGCCGCATTGAAGTCCGGGGAGTATTTTTCAAGCCTTCCACCATTTACGGGGACCTCGCCCCGTTTACTATTATTTACACACAAACGCAAACTAGAGGAACGGCAATTGGCATCATCACTGTTCTTCTTGTCGCTGCTATTACTGCTACTACTACTGCTACTGTTACGACTGATATTTCCATCCCACCTCTCGCAATTAATGCGACTGTCACACGTGAAGGAAGAATTTCGTTTCAAGAGGGATCCCTGCCCTTTTTCAGTTGTGGGTAGGTCTTGCACAGAACAGTGAAGACCCGGAGACGACACCGCCGTACTGCCCCGCTTGGATTTTGAGCGAAGGTCCGATAACGTGCGTGTGAGCATGGCACTACTCTTTCGTCCGGGCGCCGTCACAAAACTTTCCGCAACAGTGCCTCGAGCGGATTGCTGCCTTTCCAACAGATTCTGTTCTTCATTCAGATTTTCGGATGCATTCACAGTTGTCCTCGTTGAAGTGAGAGCATAAGAACGAATATAGTGCGAAGAATCCGTGCGCGGCAATTCCACGGCACGCGCATCCCCCTCATTTTCAGCCCGGTAATTTGGGCAGGTGTATCGCAGTTTATTTTCATCCATAGAACGGGGTTTACTGCGCTTGTCCAGAGAGGCATCCCGTGTATTCTCCCTTGAGGGCATCGACTTCAAATTCATCAGTGCCATCTCCTCCAATCCATTTGTAGGGGAGCTAAAGGAGGACAGTTGTTGCGGACGCAACCATGGGCGGACATACGGTGCAATAATGCTCTCCTCCATGACATTAGGCGTCAAACCATTGCTTGATTTCTTTGATATTCCACCGGTTCCCTCTGAAGATCCAGCATCATCAGCACGCATGTCACAAACAGTATGCATTCCAAAGCGTTTAAAGATGCGGCGCCCATTCCCTGCTCCCTGCAAAGTCATCGATGACAAAGAGAAAGAGTGCTGCGGGGACAAAGTTGCAGTACTTTTCGGAGGTGTTTTGGGCATATGGGGCGCTAGCGGGACATTTGGCAAAACCACCTCTTCGACTGGTTGCACGGAAGAAACATCGTTGTAGCGGCGTTGCCGAAGGTCCTGAGGACCTTTCGCGACGTCGAGCGATATCCGTGGGGAGTAGTTCGCGCCGCTAAGAAGCACCGGGTCCTGCTGGCCACCATTCAACTGCGGCCTTCTTGAGAACAGGGCGGGGGGCGACAGGCCACACCCCTCCTGCGTGCTGACACTCGGAGAATTGCTCTTCTTGAGCGGCATCGCGTTTGATTCCAACTGTAGCGAAAGGGACGGCGACTGTTTTGCGGGCATCTCAGTCCCCGTCTTTGCTGCGGAAAAATCGCCGAGAAGCTCCCGTAAAAACACGCGTTGCGCATCCTGAGGCGGGCGAGAGCGCGTGCGCTCCATCTACAAACTTACAGCCAAGAAAGGCGGTGGATCAAGTAAACTGCTGGTGCAGCGCCCACGAAAAAACTGACGCTAAAAAGAAAAAAAAGGGACGTTTTTGCAGAAACGGGCCCCCGTTGAAACTCTTCACGTGCGTAGCGACTATATATTTGGCATGGGAGACAACAATGAAAGAAAGACAACACGTGCATAAAGGGGAAACAGAAATGAAGAAAGAAAAAAAGGGACAGATGGGCGGTAAGACGTCAGTCCGCGCCCTCCCGTCCCTCACACCCCGCACGCAAGAAAAAAAAAGAAGGGAAGCCGACGGCAACCCTCCTGCAACGGATGCGTGTTTCTGTTTGTTTACCAAAACAAAACAAACAAACAAAACAAAAAGAACATACAAATAAAAATTCCTCAAACACCGCAGTAGTAATTGAATAAATGAATAAAGAGATGGCTCAAGCATTCACAACAATCTTTCAATGTTGACAGTAATGACATGAGATTTCACTAATGCACTTTATCCTCTCACATTCCGCGCCACTCTTTTAGACTCGGCTGTACAGGCGGAACTTGCTGCTGCAGGAGACAAGCTTGATCAGCTTCTGTCTGCAGAGGTGCTGCAGGCCCTTGGCGGCGAGGGCGACGGAGATCTTCAGGCGATCGCTGATGATAGATGGCGTGATCACTTTGTACTTGGGCACCTCGCTGAGAAGTTTGTCCATCGTCTCCTTGTCGAACACAACGGCGTTCTGCAGAGCCTCACGTGTGCGACCCTTCGACCACTTCTTTGCGGCTTTCTTGGCGCCCTTGTTCATGTTCTCCATCTTGCCCTTCTTGGGCGCCGGCTTGGTGGGCTTCGCGTTCTTCTTTGGTGGCATCCTTGAAATACTTCTACCGGGTGATCTACGAAAAATCGTCAGAGAAAGAGAGAAAAACAACAACAACAAATCAACGTATGCAGCAAAATACCGGATGGCGCATGGGAAAAGAAAAGCGTGCAGGAGCAGAAGGAAAAGGGACGAAAAGGCCACTGCGGGTGTGCTGTGGAATACTGTCATATCCTACATGAAGGGAGGGAGTGAAAAGCACGCAAAAGTACAAACCGACATATCACGCAACGCAATGAAGACATCACGTTGGAAGAAGAAGGGAAAAAAAGCAAAGAAAAACAATCCCAGCAGAGACAAGGTGCACCAACAGGATCACATGCACAGACATCCCCCGCGGCAGAAAAAAAAGGGGCGGCGTAGGAAAACGCGGCGAAACAAAAAAACAGTATATTCCACATCAAAACCGCCTTTGATGCCCGCTTCATGTAAACACAGATAAGAATCACGGAATAGAGCCTCATCTTCTCTGCAGTCAAGTGCGCATTCCCTTTGGCACGCCACCGCTCTCCTTTGATAAACGGTCATTCTCGTCATCGGACGCCTCATTGAACCCAAACACTTCCTTGTTTCCAAGCCCAATAATCATCTCCCGTGCCTGCGTCTCACCAAATAACTCACTTAACTCATCAAAGCTCTTTTGACTCGCCCAGCCATATCGCTTGTGCATTGCGCGATACTTCTTTACGGCAATCATGTCCTGCAGTTGGCGAAGTGTCCAACGGCCGCGTGCAAGACGACGTGCAAACTCGGGTGTGCCCGGAGCTACTACAGGTGGAGCAGTAAACCCCTCTTGTACCCTTGCGCGATATGTTGCAGTGGAACTCAAGGAACAGGCACGTCCTGGCGATGATAATGTCTTTGTTCGGACCTGAGCGGAAGAGATGGCCATCCCCAATTCCGCTGCAACCGGAACGCTGCTAAAGGAGGCAAACGCAGGGGCAAGCAACATAAATTCCAGGTAAAGCCTTGCGACACGTGGGTGCATGCGCCCTCTTCTGCACGAATAAACCGCAGTCAAAATTGCACGCAATCCTAAAAAAAAAAAAAAAACACGTCTACGCACGCACTATTTCTCCTCCTTCCTTTACGCAAAATAAAAAAAAATAAATAAAAATAAAAATAAATAAACAAACAGTACGGCTGAAAAATATATTTGGCAGCATTTCCCCATGCATCTCCCTTCAAACTTTCCCCCTTTCGATGACTCATCACATACCCAAAAAAAAAAAAAAACTCTGCAAAAATCATCACTCTGTTTTCCTCCGCCCTTTTTTTTTTTTGCAGACTTCTGTAAACGAACGACCGGAAAAAAGTCCTGCCTTCTTCCTCTCTCGCCATGAGTCCCAATAAAACATAAATGAGGGGAAATACCACAACGCGGGTGAAGCGATGAAGCAAAAGTCCTCCCACGCGGCCTTCTTCAGGCTCACTGCTCCATGAGACGGGTCTCAACCGCCCAGCGGAGTAGCGCAATTGTTTTAGCGAGAGGGGGCGGCGAGCACTCAGCCCCGGAACCCAAATCGACGGCGGGATTGCCTTTGGCATCAGAACATGCAGTCTGTGGCTTCTCATCCCCTTGATGATTCGCCAGCAGCCGATGTACCTCTGCAACAAAAACTCGGTTCCGCGAAGTTCGCACAATGTGGGCAAGACTGTCAGCAATACTCTGGGCCAACAGCGACCATGACTGGTGCACGGGATTGGATACCGCTGCTGCTGAGAGGGTTGACGCTCCTTCTTCCTCTCCTTCCTCCTCATCCGTCACGCCCTCGACCCCACCTGACATCGACGTCAATCGTCGTCTGAAGCAGTCAATGTTCTCCGCTGCAAGGCGGGACAGGGCGCCCATAACTGTCTTCGCAACGCAGCTCGGGAACCCTTGCAAAAAGCCATTGTCAACACTTGACCCAATGGGGGTATCACCGTAAACTGCACGGCACCACAGTTCAAAGGGAGCGTCTACAATGACAGTAATGCTCTGCGCACTCCGTGCGTCAAGGGAACCCTCCAAGTAAAAACTACACCCAAGCTGCTCGCGCAATCCACACACATCATGGCTACTGTCCTTCTCCATTTGCATAGGACGAGACCACACTGCTTCCCATGAAATCCTCGGTAAAATGTACGCTTCGCTGAAGCGAGACAACAATGGAAAGAATGACTCCTTTTCAACCAACCTGTCTGTTTTCAATCGCTCACTTTTCAAAGTCGACTGTCGCCGTCGCTTTCTTCCCTCTTCAGATGTTAGTAAACGAGAAGAGGAGGGGGTGAGAGAGCAAATATCACCGTCTGCGGCATGAAGCAACAACACCGCTGTATTTCGCCCCCCTCGTGGTCCCAATGGGATGTTGGCATTTAAAAGTATTGCTACTCGTACCAACTGTTCAGCCGCGAAATCACCGTCACTGTAGACGACACTTCCTTCCGCAGGACTTGACATCATCGTCGTGCTGTGCGTTGCTCCGAGAAGCCCATCGCGTCCCCTGTCCCAGATGAGGTTCGGAACATACGGCAGAAGTGAGACACAGAGACGAGTTGGGAAGCCCGTCAATGCCGAGCAAACAGCTAACCGGCGCTGTAACTCTGTACACCATCTTGCGCAGAGTGAATTTCGCGGCAACTTGAGTGGAAGGGAGGGCGAAGCCTCCGGCGCTGCGTCTGTTGGATGCAGGAAAGTGATGTGATATGTGAAGACACTGCCGTCGCACTTGGAGTTTTTTTCGCACTGAAATCGGTTCCGCAAATCAGGCTGCCATGTCAGAGTGCTCGTTAGTCGTGCCTCAACCACAATAAGGGCAGTGAGAGAAGAAGAGAAAGATGCCGCCGCCCCCACATGTGTTTCCTCCGCTGCAGAGAGCAGCTCCACGGTGTGAATATGGTGTAGACGGACAAGACGTACAATGTCTGCTTCAAAGACGTCTGCAGTTGTGGTGACTGTCGACACGGTTGCTGTCGCCGCCGCTGATCTTGCGCCGGGCATCGCAAAAAAAAAAAAAAAAAACCCTTTAATTTGTCTCTGATTTATATGTTTCCGCTCCCGTCATGATCACAAAACAGAGGAAGAGATGATTTATCACAATTGATAGAAACAGAAGAAAAAATAAAAACGCACTTCATGAAAAATCCATTCAGTACGCAAAAGCCCACATTAACTCATTTCTTTCCCTCTTTCTTTCGGGTTCTCTCCTTTCCTTTTCTCCCTTCGCTTTTTCACCTTCCGTACTGCATGCGCACTATACAGAAAAGGAAACTACAAAAAAAAAAAAAGGAACAACACACAACACAGCAGAAAACGCATATGGGGATACACGCAAACAAAAAAACTCACGCAAATACACGCTCAAACAAACAACAACAACAACAACAACAAAATTGAAGGAAATGTGGTGTTCCTTTTATGCAAGGCAACTTCTAGCACGCAATACATCTTCATAATGGAGGCAAATATTTATTTACATATCAAAAACAAATATTTCTCTGCTCTGCTTTTTGCCACGTAGTTACAAAATGTGTGAACGTGTATTTTTTTGGAAAAGAGAGGGGAGTTCATTCTTGTGGTTTCTTTTCATTTTGTTTTCCTGTTTTACTTTTCTTTACATGAGGGTAAACCATCGGGGTGGTGTTTTGGATTACAGCTCGACCTCTTCTGCTTCTTCTTGCCGGGGTTCATTCGCTTTCTCTTCAGCAGCCACATCCTTTCCTTCCAGTACTTTGATAAACTCTGCTGTCTTTTTTTCAAAGGAGTCATGCAGCGGACACATGGTGTCGTCGTACTCGTTACGCACCTCCACCGTCCTGCGAACTGCCTGCTCCTGCAGTTTATTCAACTCGTCAGATGCGGAACTCATGTTCTCCTTAATTATCTGTAACTCGTTCCGCAGGCGCTTTACCATTTGTCGCCTTTCATCTACAGTCATGGGCGGGTCGGGCAACGAAACAATCTTCTTCACACGGTAGTGATCCCGCACTGCCCATAGCCATCGCCCAATGGCGGCAAGCGGTACGGAAACAAGGGCAAGTGACTCTGGGGCGTGATCGGGTGAGGAACAGTAAACCTCCAACTCCTCCAGCAAATCGTCCGCAAGAGGCCGCAGGAGCAACGCCTGGGCACGACTGATGAAAAAGGTGAAAAAGTAATTGTCGCTAAGCACTACTTGCACGTTGGACCACCGTGTATCCTCCTCTCCACGCACCCGCATCGCCATTGCCATTGTTACCAACGCCTGCTTCGGTGGAAATTCGTAATTGCGTAACACTGCAAGTTCTTCTTTTGTCGTAACGTCAAGCTGCTGATAACTTTCTTGCATTTCTTTCCGTACATTTATCATGAGGTCGTTTTCAATCGCCTGCAGTTCACGCGGAGGAAGCATCTTCGACCCGCCACGACGCTCTTGAAGAACAATAACGCGCTCCAACCATGTAAGCTGAGTTTCAATGTACTTTACTTTCTGTAAACCGGCAAACATTACGGACCGCAGTGGTGCCATGAGTGGCTCGTAGTGCAGCAAAATTCGTGTCAAATTCGTCCGGTACTCGCAGCACAACATACTGAGCTGTGCTGCCTTAAGTTGTACGTCGCCCTCGATGCTAAGAAGAGTCGTCAGCTGCTTCTCTGTGAGCATTGATGCCGGCCCCCGCACCGGCGCAGGGGTGGCAACCATCTCCCAACCTTTTTTTCAAAAGAAAAGAAAAAAAAAAAGGACTTACATAAAAAACAGACTTACACGTTAGAGAGATATAACCGCAAATTAAACAAAAACGAAACCCTCCCCACCCTCCCCTTTTTTTTTTTAGACTGGACAATAAAATGTGTGCTGACATGCCCAGTGGAGTGGTGGTGGTAGCGGAGGATTTCCTGCACCCCGTTTGTCCCACGGCCGACGACGGCTGTTTAGTTGCGCAAAAAATTCGACCACCGCGTGCGTGAGAACTCCTTCCAGTTCATCTCCAGCTGCTTGTAAATGTCGGCCGAAGTTTGCGGTGGCCAGTTGATTTCTTCCTCAAGCCGTGTAAAGGTGTCCAGCGGGAAGTACGCGGACTGGAGGTCCTTTCGGCCCCGACGTATTCCCACCGGCCGCTCCAGGTTGTTGAGGTTAAGCGTGATGAACACATCCTGATGCTCCTTCATAATCTTCTCCACCTTCCGCATCTGCTCCTCCCCCATGTCCACCTGCAACGTGACATACCGCGCATACGTCAGCGGGGTGTTATCGGCGTCACGAAATCGACTGTACGGGCGCATAACCCCCTCATTTGAGAGTTTGCGGATAAGGCCACCGTTGTTGTATATCGCCACGGCAATCTCGCGCAGCGCCTGGGAAGTGAAGCGACGCTGGCGCGGCTTCATCACCAAAACAAACGCATAAAACACCATCTCTAATTACTGCTGTTAAATGCTAGCGGTCCGGAACACCTCCCCTGCGCCAGCCAATTCACCTCAGCGTTCTGCCGTGCCCTCAATTCCCGCCCGTCCTTCCCCCTCCGTCGTACGCCACAAAAAAAAAGAAAGAAAAAGCAGCATGGATGCTGTAGCCATAAAGAAAATCCATACAATCACGGACGCAGGCGCACACAGTGAGAGAAAAAACAAAAATAAAATAAAAATAAAAACTGATACAAACGGAAAGAGGCAAGAAGACAAATGGCACCCTATCCTATTTTCATAGCACCGACAACGCTACGAAAAAAAAAAAAATGTGAATAAAGAATAGGCAAACAAGGTGAATTCAAACTCCAAGCACGCAGAAAAATACATACAGTGAGGTATTTATTTTTTTTTTCTTAAAAAGAAACTGATGAAGATGGTGCCACTTCCAGCAAAATGCGCAGTTTTTTCGGGTCAAGGTCAGTCACAGGCATAGGCAAAGTGGCTCCCGTCACTTCTGAACCCTCTGAGGATGGCTGTTTTTGAAGCTCTAGAAGCCTTTTGTAGCGCAATTCATACACATCACATAGTGTTCGCAAGACGCCCTGTGAAACTTGCTCCCGTATTCGAGGTGATCGCACTGCTGCAACAATAGGAATGTACACTCGACCCGACGCTGCCACAATACTATAAAACGCGTTGAGTTGAGCGCAAATAGTCGACACATCCATCTTTTCGCAGTTTACGTCAAAGGCTTCTCTCGCAGCCACACTAGTAATACTGCAGCTACTGGCCAAATCGTCTCCACCCGCTACCACCGGCGTCAAACTGTTCTGTGGCCGTCGGCAAAAGTAGTGTCGTAAGGCGCACTGAGAAAGCACAGCTGTAAGTTGCTTCGTGATTTGCTGGACACGTTCTGGAACGACATTTAAAATAGGTGTTGTGTGGCCTGCAGAAGCATTTGCGAGGGCAAGAAGGCCTGGGTGTGGTGCAAGCGTTTCTTGGAGCGAAGAAATGGTATTGAGCTGTAATGCCAGTCTGCAGGGTTCGTCCAGCGCGTTTTTTACGGTGGGTTGACGTGCAAGAACAAGAGAAAACGACAAAATGTGTTGCACAAGCACAGTAAAAAACTGTTCATGGCGAACGGAAAAGTCCGCTGAGGTGGAATCAACATGTGTGGAGCTTTTGGAGAGCATTGTTTGCACAGATTCCATGATCTCTACATGTTTTTCCGCCTCAACCATCGTGGACTGCAGCACCCGCAAGCAACTCTCCACCTCTGGAGGAGTCGGCAAAACCATGGAGTACAACACCCGCAGGAGATCTGCGGCTTGTGCTTGTCGTTTCGACAGCCCGCTGAGGTGATATGGGTTGCTTGTAAGACTCCGACTTCCCGTAGAGGTTATACTCGTCCCCGCTATCGAGGAATGTTGCCGCTGCTGATCCTGAAACAGTTGCGATTTTGAGTAATCATCGTGAGGAGCGACAACATCTACGTCCAGGTCCTCTCCAGAGGCATACTCAAAAAGAAAATTAGTGACAAAGCACGCGGATGCGTCGCCATCTTTCTTCTCCTCCTCCGTCGACGTCGTCGCCTCTGCAGAGGCCAATCGACGCAAAACAGTACAGCGGCTGACAACACTGGCCACACTGTCCAGCGCATGTTCCAATATTTGTTTAGCAAGGGTGTGATACACACGAAGAAGTTGAAGCTTCGCATCATCCACTACGAGACGCGTAAGCGCCGCCTCCCGCCCAAGAAGTGCAATAAACGTGCTATGTCCATAATAGGTAAAAAGCTGCAGCAGAGCGTGGGCCGTGCGAAGGCCGTTCGTTAGCCCCATGAGCGTCGCCGCCACAAGTGCCTCCTGTTGCGAACGGTTCAGCACATGTTGATAGCGTTGTGCACCTCCAGCAGAGTTGGGCGTCAAAGAAGACACACGTCCAGTTGCCGCCGACAATAGCCGCGTAATGCCACCGGTGAGGCCAATCGGACCGGCGGGGCTTGACAACACTCCGCCACCGCCAACCCCTCTTCCAGTGCTGACACCGCCAACATTAGGAGTATCCCCATCCTGAAGACTTGATGCATGGCGGAGAAAACGTTCTAATACACCGTCAAGTACACTTTGAATGTGCTTGCAGAGCACTTCAAAAATGGAACCCAGCACAGAGAGCTTATTTACTGGTAGTCCAAAGTTTTCGGCGTGACCCAACACCTCTTCTTGAGCCAAATTATCGTCTTTATTCGGGTGGGTCTCAGACGTATCCTTCTCAGCATGAACAGGACCACCAGAGGTGGCGGTAAGGGCAGAATTTCCACTTTTAGGCGCTGTTGTAGAAGTTCCTTGGGGCGGTGCAGGTGGGAAAAAGGCACCCATAAAATCCTCTTCATCTACAATCACCTGATGAAGCCAGGCAAAGAGCGAGCTGAAGAAGAAGATCGGGTTGCCAATTTCTGCCTCTAACGGGCGCGTCCCCCCACTGTTATTAGACGTTTCGTTGCTTTTGCCCCCTGCACGGTATGTACCCGCTGAAGTTGTTGCAGATCCAGTTGTCATGAGATGAAAGTACTGTCGCAGTACCGCCGCTCGCCGCAGCCGTGCCACCTCCTCCACCACTGCTGCCCACTGGCTGAGATTTTCATCTCGCAAAAATGTCACGCATCGCAGACAGAAACTTGTCATTTCAGGCGAATCACTACCAAAGCCGGCAGCACCTGGCATTACTGCAGACGTAGACACCAAATAGCGTGCAACTTTTTCCGTCCCCTTCATAATAGCCGAATACGTAATGTCCATCATAGAACCAGCGCTTTGATAGTACTCACGTGAAAGCAGTAATTCGCGGCACTTTCGGTGTGTCGTCTGTGCCCTTTGCAGGACATCAAGGTAGGTGGCGTCCACTGGGCTCTCCTCGAGAATCTTCTGCTCCTCCGCAGAAAAGTGGTACTTCTTCTGAAATTCCTGCATCTCCTTCTCGCGCTGTTGCACTAACGATAATTCCACCTGAAGAGTCGTCATAAGCGCCACAAAATCCTTCGTTAGTGCGGCGTGTGAATTGAGGGTGTTCTCAAGCACTTCACTTTCTTGGTGTACTCTTGACACCATGTCGGAAACCTCCTCAAAAACTTCATTGAGGGCAGACCATTCCTGCAAGAAATATCTGTGAAGGTCCACAACACGACTTTCCAAAGCGGTTCGCAAGGCTGTCGAGGATGAAATAGATGCAATATGATGCTGTTGCTTGTTGTTGTTGGGGTAACCTTTTTTGCAAAACGAATTTTTCCCCTTCCGTGGTGGACACATCAGGCAAGGGTGGTAGGAATTTCTCCAGAAAATCCGGAACAGCGTCATTCATGTACAGCACAAGCTCGCGAAAATTGTCGTTTACGGTGATGTCAAGCAGCTTTTGCACCTTACGACTGGTGGTAAAGTTCCGTGTAACGGACAAATGGCCCTCTGCCGCAAAACCCCCGGCAGCACCCGCAGGGTCGCCGCCATTCCTAGTTGTTGTTGTTGTTGTTGTTGATTCTACATGTGGGATGGCACCGGAAGAATGCGCATTCACTGCCCTTTCTCCTCCTGTTGTTGCGGCTGCCGGGGCGGTAACGGTCATCTCCTCCACCATTGTTGCCAACCAAAGCAAATTACTAATGTGTTGTATCCTTTACGCCCCAGTACGTATGGCACAGCAAGCACTATCCTAACAAAGGTATTTATCCCTCTCGCGGTTTTGTATTGAATGCAAAAATTCCTCATAAAATTAAAAAAAGGAAAAAGGCCCATCATTAATTGTGTTCCCCCATGCCCCAAATACTCCATTCCCCCTGCATACAAAAAAAGGACACACAGACAGAGAGACATACATTATGCACTCCTGTTATCCGGCACTGGTTCGGCGTCACCTGTGATCTCCCGCCTTTTTTTCCTTTTCGTTACTGACTCTCAATTATTCTGTCCCTTACCTGTAGTTACAATTCCGTGTTTCATTCAAGTACCAGCCACTCCAAAACACATGCACACACACACACACAAATATATATATATATATTTGTGCAAGCATGAATATTACACCTGAAGTCCCGCAGGAGCGACTTCACTAGCAGCCACAATCGAGAGAAAAAAAGGGAGAAAAAAGGCCGAAAGCCCCGCTACTTAAAAAAGGTCCAGATGAAACGTGTCTTCCGCTGCAAGTAAAAGCGTGCGTGGACGACGTACGTGATGAAAGCTCCTGCCAGTCCCACGCCTTGTGCGACTCCCGGCAAATTGCAAAGATCTAGCACCAGCCTCGCAGCAGTCAAGTAGAAGACTGAAGGAGGTCGTTCCGAGAGGCACTGGCTTGCCGATGATGATGCTCTCCGACACGCTGAGATTTTCATCAACTCGCTGTGTCGCCGCAGCGTTGTAGAGATGGTCTGTGGTGCGCTCAAACGAGGCCATTGTTAGCACATTAAAGTTCATCTTCTGAATGCCATAGCGTGTGATGCCGAGCACAACGCCACGTTGTGTCATAAGGTCGGCGAGAAGATAAATATGCCTTATATCAATACTGAGGCTGTACGCTTTAAGAATTCCCTGAATCTCATTCACAATTACCTGACGTGCCGCCTCAATACCAAGAACGCGTTCCACGACAGCGACATGGTTACAGACGACACGCGTCGACTCCACTTCTGGGAGATTCATCACGGCTCGAAGTTCTGCGCCCTCCGCAAGCACCTCCGCACCGTTGGATGAAATCATCGCGCGGTTAATACCGGCAATGCCACCCACAACAACATCTGGAAGCAGTGCAAGCACGTGACGCAGATTAAAGTGAACACGGTGTGCCTCCAAAAAGTACGGACGCACTGCCAACGTATCGAGGCTTACGACTTCCACGCATTCCTCACGCAATAGACGCAATGGTGACATTGGTCGCGCTGCTGCCGCAAGAATACGTTGGCGTACAGTAATGGCATTAATCGGCAACCAAAGCTTGGCGATAAGCGACATGTTGAGGTGCACGCGAAGGTAAAATTCGGTCGATGTACAAACCTCCACAATTTCCGATGCTACTTCCTTTAACAGCACTCGTTCCACCTGTGACTTTACACGTCGGACCCGTTTTTCAAACTCCTCCTGTGAATCCTCTTCACAGCTCTCCCCCACCACCTCCTGCTTGATCGACAGTGACTTCCCCCGTCGATGTCGCCGCACAGGCGCCGTGACAACAGGAGTTGCAATGTTTCGGTTCGCATTAATAATTTCAACAAGACGTGGCACACCTTGTGTTATGCTCATGCTGGCAACACCTGCAAAATGGAATGTACGCAAGGTCATTTGCGTACTTGGTTCACCGACAGACTGTGCTGCAATGGCACCACAAGGAGTCCCAGGCTCGCAGGCCTTAAGTATGTACTTACTTGCGCATTGTGCCAAGAAACGGGTTATCATGCCATATGTGAGTGGAAGTAGTTCCGTTTGGAGCTTTTCAAGAATTCGGAGCTCAGCATGATTCCCCTCCACATGCGCCGTCTGTAAACTATTGCATAACGTCTTCCTGCTTTTTCCTTCTCGAGAGGTAGAGGAAATTTCCAGCAGAGCGCGTATCCGTTTCTGCTCCTTCACCTTCTTCTGAAAAAAGTTTGCTACATCTTCCTTAAACTTTGAGCTACTCACACTTGCCAAGCGGGAAATTAGCCCTGCACGGCGTGTCCGCTCTTGTTGCCGCATGCCTTCGTCGCTACTCTTTCCGTCCATTTCTCGCACGTTGACGTTCTTCTCTTCATCCAGTCGTTCCAACCGTTCACACACCTCCAGTGCACCCGAGTCACCGGACAAGCAGGCCATGACGAATGCCGGCACCTCAGTGGGAAGAAGCGAAATAAATTCATCATCATCATCAGGATCAAAGGTTTTCTTCACGTCACGTTCATTTCGCCTCCTATCACGCCTGCTACTTCCATCCGTATGATTATCATTACGGCTCGCGTCGTTGAGGGTGTTGCACCGCTCCACAATCCAACGTGCGTATGCGGCCCGCGCGCTGAGCCACTCCTGATCCAGGTTGAGAGGCGTGCCACCAACGCCTTCCATGAGCTGCGGGTCAAGGCCATCCTCGCCAAACCTAAATTGCACCACGTCGCCTCTCGTGTTTCGGGCTGTGCCATCATACCGCACACTCAAGTTCTCCATCGCCTTCATAAGACGGCGGTAAATGTAGCCGGTCTCCGCCGTTTTTACCGCCGTGTCAACAAGACCCTCACGGCCAGCCATGGTATGGAAGAAAAACTCGGTGGGTGTCAATCCAGAGTAGAAGGAATTTGCCACAAAACCGCGTGCGCTTGGGGCCTCCTCAAAGCGGTAAAAATGCGGCAGTGAACGATCTTGAAAAGCATTCAAAATACGCTTCCCACTCACCGTTTGCTGCCCCACGCATGCCATCATCTGCGCAATGTTCAGCGCACTACCTTTACTGCCGGATTGCACCATCATGAGCGGGGTGTTTGTGTCGACAGAAAGTGTCTCAACAGCTGCCGTACCGCATTCATCACGCACCTTGGAGAGTTCCGCATTGAGGCGGGCCTCAAGCGACTGCCGTACGGTAAGACCAGGAAGCGGTTCCATACGTCCGGTTTTGGCGGACTCAATTAAGCTATCGCAGGTTGCAAAAGAGCGAGCAAGCACGGCTGCCTTCTGCTCGTTCAGAAGTGGTGTTGGCGCGACATCACCGAGACCGAGACTAAACCCATAATTTGTCAGGTAGCGTGAGGTGAATTGAGCGATACGAGACATAATACGGGCCGTGTAGCCACCACCCGAAAGTGTATGCAGGCGCGCAAAAAGCCCGTCTTTTGCACCACCTCCAAGAAGTTTCTTGTCAAGACGACCAGAGATAAAGCGGGAGTCAAGAAACGCCACATAACCCTCCGCTGCACAGTCGTGTCTGCCTTTTTTAGTGTAGAACTTTGTTGCGGCCTCGAGGTTGAGCAGCACATTCACCTCTGGTGAGGGACGCAGGATGAGTTCAAAGACTTGCTTCCCAGTCCAAAGCTCTGTCGGTTTCAAAATCGTCGGTATCGGTAGCCGAAATTGAGTCACTGGTCCAAGCCAATGTGACACCATCCAAGACATTTGCGAACGATCAAAGAAGACATCCCGGGACGTCACAAGATAGGCAGCAACAAGAAAATCTTGTGTGCAAGCAATAATAGGCTCACCATTTTTTGCATTAATAATGTTCTTCGCTGTCAACATCAGTTCAAATGCCTCTGCACGTGCTTCCTCCGTCTGCACGAGGTGTACATTCATCTCATCTCCATCAAAATCTGCGTTATATGGGGCGCAACAGCATTCATTAAATCGAAATGTACGAAATGGGAGCACACGCGCCCGGTGGGCCATCATGGAGATACGATGAAGTGAAGGCTGCCGATTAAACAACACAACGTCGCCATTCATCACATGCCGCTCCACAACGTCTCCAATAGACAATCTTGCAGAAAGCGACTCACGGTCACGTTCATGGTTAAGCGATTTCTTTGATCCTTCCTGTGCAAGGTACACTGCGACGGCGCCTGGATGCACATTCGGGCCATTGCGTACAAGCCGACGCATGAGTTCCAAATTTGATTTAAAAACACGTTGCGGATACGTCAATACCCGTGCCACTCGAAGTGGCACGGCCAATTCATCAACATCAAGGTTAGGATCGGGTGAAATGACAGAACGGCCAGAGAAGTCCACACGTTTCCCACTGAGATTTCCTCGAAACCTTCCGTGTTTTCCTTTAAGGCGTTGTGCGTAAGACTTGACGTCCGCGGTACGCATGTGCGGTGGGAACCCCGGTAGAGCGGAATCAATAAGTCGAGCTGCACGCATTTGAAGCATTTCCCACGTTTCTGTGTATTTGCTGGCATCGATAGAGCCATCCTGAAGCGTATCAGAACTAATAAGAATGTCGTTGTACTGCCCTGTGAGGTCGTCGTCACGGATATTTGCAGTTCCAGAACTGCCACGTGGTCGCACCGAGACAGGAGGAACGAGCAGCGTTGTCACAAGCAGATCCACAGGACTTGTACCGGGTAGCAAGCCAAGGAGTAAGACCTCGTCCGGTGGCACGGCTAGAAACATTTGACGCACCCGAGCCGGATCGAGAAATTCATGGACATTCTCTTTGCTTTCCTCCACCACCTTGTTGTATGCACATGCCGCGCGCAACTCATAGTCAAAAAAAGTTTCGACGCCTTCAACAGACTCTTCCCCTCGGCGTGGTTCAACACGATACTTTTCGTGTACAAGGCGTAAAGGACGTACTCGTCGCACATCCCCATTTAAGCCTCCACACTTGAGGCAGACACGTGTCTTGTAGGCTTCTCTCTGTATTGTTTTAACGAGCGCTGCCCGCTGCAGCGGTTCAAGTTTTGTGGATGAAAGCCGCCGCTTGTAGTACTCAATCTCCGCGTCATCCAAAAGCAGATGAGAACAGCGTTTGCATATCGTACGACAGATACGTAAAATTGTGGTAAAGAAACCGAGGTGAAAGACAGGGGTCTCGAGATCGATGTGGCCGGGGTGACCGACGCAGTCAATGCTTCGCAGACCACATGTCGCGCAGAAGGAGACACGATCACACACGCCGAGGCGGGGGTCATTCACGCCATACTCCTTCACAGCCCCAATGACACGTCGGCATGGAAGGACGGAGAGGCGGTGAATGTCGCTGCGTGAAAGAAGGCCATAATGCAATGCACGTATCTCAACCGGCGCATTCGGCAATGGCTCCACAAACTGCTGCGGAAGCAACAGGGGTGCTGCAGCGCCTTCTCCAGGCATGTACGTGCGATTGACGTAGATCACCCGCTCGTAGGCCCAACAGAGAAGGCAGCACTTCACCCCTTCTCCCCCTTTAAAGCAAAAAGGGCAAAAGAAGCAAAAAAAAGGCTAAAACCTCCAAACAATAGGCGCTAACTTGTTGCTGCGGCGCGTACTTCACTGTAGCAAAAAAGAAAAGAAAAAAAAAAAAGAAAATGTAAAAAGAAGCAACAGTCATGACGCAATTCCATGCGCACGACACAAAAAAGTATAATCACTTCTTCTCTCTTGTAATATCGGTTCAATTTTAACCGAGCACCGCAACCGAGACACCTTTTCATCGATTTTTCTCGGCAGAGGCAGAGTTAAATGCGGCAGTTTGACCGCTTTTTTTTTTTTAATCAACGCGCAGCAAACACTTTCCTTCCTCATTCCTCTTCAGCTTCGGCATGCAGTTAGACAAGTTTATAACTTTGAGCACGTTTCAGCGTGCTGCCTATCCTCTCATTCTCCTTTCCCTTTCCCTTTTCTCTTCAGTGCCAGAGCCTCTCATACACTCATGTATTTTGTTCACCCATTGATGTGGAATATATTCCTCTGCGCAGTTCGCGCTCTCCTCCTTCACACTTTGGTTCCGGTGTATAACGTCGTCCCAGGCGGGTCCGCATCACACACACTTTCCTCCCCTCATAAGCACAAATGCATCATTTATGCACATGTGTGTGTGTCTCCCGCAACAAAGACCCTCAATGGAATAAAAACAAATACATGATTTTAAAAAAGAAAAATGATAATAAAAAAAAAAAAAAGGGAAAAGAGTTGGGAGCACAATACCTCAATTAATGCCTATGTCGATCCTACAAGCCATTCGACGAGTGGTGCAGCCGCCTGCTTCATTTTCTTGTCCACGGCAGGGTCCACTTTGGAGATGGGCTTCTCGTCGCCACACCACTCCTCAATGGTTGCACTCTTGAGGACACCCTCAATAAAAAGAACAAACAGGATCACCACCATCTGCTCGGGCTCAAAACGTCTTGCGCAGATACGAGCAGACTCCTCAATTGTGGCAGACTGCAGCCTCTTTTCGCGTCTCAGAAGATCTGACTTGGTAGCCTCGTCGGTGGCAGCGTCAAGCAATGCTGTGCCGGTAACTCTGCAGAAACGCTTTAACAGACGTGAATGACGACGCAGACCCGCCATAAATTCCTTTTCTGCCAACTCAATGCCATCTAATACAAGCAATGGACCCATTTTTTCCTTCAAGTTGTAAGTTGTCATAAGCTCAATACAGCGCCGCATAACCTCCTCGCTTTCATCCGGATACTGCTGCATGCAACGCGCAAGTATTTTCTGCGGTGGCTCACGTGTATCTTCAAGATCAGATCGTTGAATTTGCTTCTTTTCAGGTTCAGCGGGAGGCGCCACGGCAGCGGCAGCGGCAGCGGCAGCTGCCTGCTGATTTTTCTGGCTGCTACGGGCCTCGGCCGTACCAGCCCCTTTCTTCATCGCAACCTGTGGGTTCTTGGCAAAATACGTCACAATGGCCGTCACATAGCGGGCGTCGAGATCACTTAATTTCATTACTTTACCGCAAGCACCACATGACATGCTAATGTGTGGCACATCCTTCTTGTTTCGTTCGACGAAAAGTTGCGTTTCGGGATTTCGACAGCTACGGCAAAGAACAAATTTGCGAATAAAGTCGTATATTTTTTCTTGCACACGCTCCTCTGTATGGCTTCCCATGATGAGGAACTTGTCATCTTTTTCTAGCACCGTACGCTGGGCACCGATTTCAGACTGAAAGAACTTCATTAGTACTTCCTCTGGGCGATTTATGGCAAGGCACACATCATGAATGTTTGGAAAAACAGTCTTAATACCGTTACCGCTACCCTCGACTTTCGTCTGGATGGTGGGCATCTTGTAGCGGTAGTAGAGATCATCCCGCTTATCGGGATCAATGGGTATCATTGGAACCGACATGGTTGCTGATTGTCTGTGTGTGTGCTTATTCTCCTACAAGGTGGTAGGTGAAATTTTGGCAGCAATATTTCAAAAACAGGAAGGGAAGGAAAAAATACTGAATAACTTAAGCAATATAAAGGCAAGACGTTCATACAAATAAAGAAAAAAAAAAAGTAAATGGGCAATTGAGTACATGGACACCGAAGCAACAGGAGTGAAAGAAAGAGGAAAGAAGAGAGGGATGTGTGGCCATTAACAAAAGCGCTCCAGCTCCCTCAGCACCTCCTCAGCATCATCACAAATGGTCAGTACATGCAACAGTGACGCCGGGTTCATCACCTCCGCTACAGCATTGGCTTCGCACCGCGCAAAGAGCACTTCCAATCTTTTCCGCAACGAAGGCGTGAAAGAGGCACCGCAGTAGCGGTTGACGAGATCCATCGCGGACGACGCGTTAAGAATACCCAAGCGGACTGTCAGCGTCACGACGCCGGGCTTCCAGAAGAGAGCGGGCAGCTTCTCCGGATGACTTGTTGTGAAGACGATCACACGCCCCGGGGGTGCAAGCGTAGCGTTCAAGGCGGTGAGAACTCCCTCGGGAGAAAGAAAGTCTGCGACCAACAGTTGACCGCATTTTTCCGTAGAATCCGCGGCAACACCAAGATCGGGGGTCTTTTTTCGCAGTTTGTTCTGCTTCTTGGACGAGCTATTCCCCGCTTTGTTGTGGGAAACGTTTTCCGTCGTTGTTTCTTCCCTTTTCGTCCTCACCTTCATCTCCATTTCCTCCACTCCTTCTTTTCCCTCATCCGCGTCTTTGGGGTCCGAGAGCAACTGCTGATGCTTCACGGGCAACTGAAATGAAAGGAGATCTGAAATCGCCTCAACGTCCTCAAACAAATACACCACTTTACTTACGTCTAGTCTCTGACTCTGGGACAGTAAATACGCTGACCCTTCGTACCGCATCGAGCCGCCACGCGTTTCTTTCTTCCACACAGCTTCTTCA